CTCATACAAAAGTGTGCTGAACCATGCAGGCGATCCAGTACTGTGCCTGAGGAAAGAGCTGGCACTGTGCAGAGAGGCAGCATCTTTGTTGGTGTTTGTTTTCAGAAGGGGTTTCTCTAACAAGTTCTGGCTGTCCTGGAGCTCATTGTGTAGGCCAAGATGGCCTTGAACTCACAGAGATCACCTGCCGCTGCCTCAGAAATGCTAAGATTAAAGATGTGCACCACCATGCCTGCTGAAAGGCAGCATCTTAACGAGGGAGGCCTGCCCTGACAGAATGGTGCTAACTGGCCAGACATAATGGTTGGTGGTGTTGAGGTAAGGGAGAGAGATGCTTGGCACAGAACAGAAAAATTCGATGGCTCAGGAAATGGGGGCACATAGCATGGAGAAAGACAGAGTTTCTTTTTTCCTTTTTTACTGAAGTTAATTATGAAATGAACTACAGACTTGAAGACAACACTTCATTGATGACAAAAGATGCTTAGATAGGAATGGAATCAAGGGTCACCATCATCTCAGGCACAGAAACACCTTACTTTTTGCAGGATTTCTTAGCGTTACCTGTGGCCAGGCTACCACTCCTTTTGCTTTCACAAGAAAGCCTTTTCCTCTTCATGTCTCTTTGGCCTGCCTTTTGGCCTGTCTCAAGCCACCTTCACAGCTGGAGCTACCACCTGCCACTCTTTCTCCAGGAAAGAAGTTGTGTGGGCAGCCTCTCATAGGTAAGCCACTGTCTCCTAGCAGAGAAGGCTGCAGGGGGCACACCCAACCTCCCATTGGTTCAGTCTGACCATCAGACACTCAGGTCCAGAATCTCTGCTTACATGGCTCTTTCTGCTTACACATGGGAGTCCTCTATGTGACTGAGCATGACTAGGAGAAGAAATGAGGTCATGACAGGACACTTGAGTTTCCTCTCCTAAACAGTGTGTGTGTGTGTGTGTGTGGGGGGGGGTTCTTGGAGACTTTAATTCAAGAGAGCAACATGATCACATTCACATTTTACAAAGACTGCAGTGACTAAAGTGTGCTCTCAAATTATGTTGACTTGGGATCAGTTGCTCTATCTCTCTAAATCTTTACTCTCTCATCTGTAAAGAAGGGATAATGACCCCACAGGCTGATTAAAAATATTAAATGTGATAATATACACAAATCATTTAGTGAATGGTTATCCCAAAGCAAGTGTCTGCCAAAGCAAGTGTCTGCTAGTTAAAAATGGTGTTAATGATAAAGTCAAAGGGGAGAGAAACTGGACACAGGGAAACCAAATGTAGTTAGTCAATAAGAACAGGAGCATGTTCAACTGTGAAGGCGCTCACGCTGAGACACCTGGCTTCTCACTAATGACCAGAGGTATGTTGCTTGCCATAGTGGCCTGGGTAGGCTTCTTCCTGTCCCACTCTGAGGTAGCTTCAGTTGATCATATAGAATAGCCTGCCCATGAGAAGAGGGCCTTCTGTGGTCAATGGCATAAGAATGGCAGGCCTCCTGTGCTGGGACTTCTAAGCCACCTCCCACATAGACTGCAGTGCTGTGATTCTTTTCATAGTACTGTCCCCTTTTGTAAACCAAAAGAGACAAGAGAGTGTCTAAATAAAACCTAATTGGGTCCTTAATCTCACAAAAGCCAGTGCCAGTTCAGTATAGAGAGTAGAAGGGAGCCTGCTCAGAGGGAGGGAGGGAAGTGAGGGAAGAAGAGGAAGGGGGCTAGGAGAGGAGAGAGATGGGACAGAGGCCAGCTGAGTGGGCTTTTTTAGGCAGAGCTGTCACAGCAGGTAGGAAGAAGAGCTGGTGCTCCTGGAAGAAGAATAAAAGCAAAGGTGGAGTGCAGGGAAGGTCCACGGCAAGCTGGGGGCTAGAAGGAGCCTTGAGAGATTGCATCTCAAAGCCCTGGCTATAGTAGGGTAGGAAGGCTAGACTGGAGACATAAGGCCAGGCTGATGGAGTTCTGAGTGCCCAGGGAAGGAGCCTGGGCTTTCTTCTTCTGTGATTTGATGGTTTCTGGAAACAGCCATCAAAAGCTTTTCAGGAATTCAGGCTTGTCTGTCTCTGGCGTCTCCTTCTGGAAGACCAAGGGCCCAGAGTGGCAGCCTGACATTCAATCTCCTTTGCCATTGTTAGGAAGTCAGGGCTGTGGCTGATTTTATTGGTCTGTTTTGCATTTATTATAGTGTGGCTTTTATAGTGTGTTAATTGAAATATTTCCAACTGCCAAAAACAATCACACTCAAAGTGCCTTGTCAGTTCTTTTTCATTGCCAGATAAATGTTTTACAGACACTTACAGGACAGTGGTGACTGGACACACCCACAGGGCATGGTGACTGGACACACCCACACTCCACCTCCTTCATTCAAATGTTAGATTTTTGTTTGATGAAACATTTTACTGTCTGTGTCACTGTTCTTTTCTTACCTTTTTTTTTTTCTTAAAAATAAAACAAAACATAAAACCCAGGTTGGAGAGATGGCTCAGTGGTTAAGAGTCTTTTCTGCTCTTCAGTAAACATGAATTTGGTTCCCATCACCCCTATGGGGTAGCTCACTTGTAAGTCTAGCTCAGGGGTTCCTATGCTGTCTTCTGACTTCCACAGGTTCATGCACACAGGTGACATAATACAAATACTCATACATACACATAAATAAAAATAAATATTAAAAACATCACCTATGAAATCTTGTTCTGTTGACACTAAGCTGATAAATGGTCACAAAATGACATCTTTGTTGTATACCCCAAGCTGGTAAGGTAGCACTCACACACTCTTACAGCAGCCTGGCACAGAGCTAGCTTTCAGGACTTATGCTGAGTGGGCATTAATACCAACTTGCATTCTAGGTAAACCTGACAAGTGCTCCACTGCTTAGCTTAGTGCACAAAAAATAAACAAATGATCCACAAATGTTTATCAGGTTGAATTGAGCATGTTTCTTGTACTAGACAGCTTCTGAGGCAGTACTTGATGAAAAGAGGTTTGGTTGTTGTTTTGTTTGTTTTGTTTTGAGACAGGGTTTCTCTGTGTAATAGCCCTCCCTGTCCTGGATCTCGCTCTGTAGACCAGGCCTCGAACTCAGAGATCTGCCTGTCTCTGCCTTCCAAGTGCTGGGATTAAAGATGTGTGCTACCACTGCCCGACTAGAAAAAAAAAGGTTCATTTTAGCTCGCAGTTCCGGAGAGACTCGGAGCATTGTTTCTCTATTATATCTGCTCAGGTGAGGACCGCACAGCAGAGCCAGCACAGGAGGAAGGATAATGTCTTGAATCAGAAGCAAAGGGAGAAGGAGGTGCCAGGCTTACTCCTTTTATAAACACTCTCTGGGAACTACCACGTTTCAGATTACAACAGTACCTTTATGCCTTCCAAAGGCATGTCCCCAATATCCCAAGGGTTTCCCACCAGAACCCATTAAAGGTTCCATTGCTTTCTAGTACCCAGCCTGGGGCCAGGCCTATAACATGTGAACTTTGGGAAGACAGTCAAATTATATGCTCTTGAAAACATGACATTTAATGTTTTAAAAATGTATTTGTATATGGGTATTTTGCCTGCATGCATGCCTGTGTACGATGTGCTTGGTGCCCTCAGAGGTCAGAGAGGTGGTGGATTCCCTGGAACTAAAGTTACAATTGGTTCTAAGTCTCTGTTGTGGGGACTGGAGTTCACACCCAAGTTCTCTAGAAGAGCAGCCACGTTCTTAACCACTCAGCCATCTCTCCACCACCACTCCAGCCCCTGCATATGACGTTTAACAAACAGAACTGGAGCAAGTTATCATGTCCGTTCTGTACTTTTCACTGATGAGAAGTCTAAAGCCCAAAGAGGAAAACTTTTTCCCAAGGTTATCTTCACCAATGAGGCTGATGGAATTCCTTAATCTATTCTGTAAATTATCTCAATACCTTCTGTGTTTGAGCATTCCAGGTGATGGAATATAGTAATATTCCAACCAAATAAACTCCTACATGAGGCTGGGTGATGATGGTGCAAGCCTTTAAGCACAGCACTTGAAAGGCAGAGGCAGGTGGGTCTGTATGAGTTGGAGGCCAGCCTGTCTACAGAGTGAGTTCCAAGACAACTAGAGCTACATAGAAAACACCACCTCAAAAAAACCAATGTTTTTTTCCCAAATAAACATCTACTCATAGGGGCTTATATGTATTCCAAACAGGTGTTATAAATACAAGATGCTTTTGAAACCCCATATTGCTCCGTTCAGTGCTGAAAGTACAGGTGTATACCACCATGTGTTTGTTTTGCACTTGTTGGTTTGTTTATTTTATTTTATTTTTTGACAGTGTCACTGTGTAGCCCTGGCTGGCCTGGAATTCACCGTGTAGACCAAGCTGGTCTCAAACTCAAAGAGATCCACTTTTCCCTGCCTCCTGAGTGCTGGGATCAAAGGTGCAACTATGCGCTGTGCAAATGAGCGTGTGTGTGTGTGTGTGCGTGTGCGTGCGCGCGCGCCATAGCACTTATGTGCAAGTTAGAGGACAATTTGTAGACTCTTCTCTCCTTCTACCATGGGTGTCTCAGGGATCAAACTCAGGTCACCAGGCTTATGAACAAGTTGCCTTTATCCTCTGAAACATGCTGCTGGCCCACCAATCCTGGGTTTGTGTGGTACTAGGAGGTGAATCCAGGATTTCATACATTGCACTGAGCATTCTACCAACAAAACTACATCCTCAGAGTTTTGCATATACTCTAAAATATTTGCTGAATTAGTTATAAGTAAATTTCCCAGTACTAAGTTTCCTGGGTTACTCTTCATGGGTTAGTTGTGGTCATGCTAAAATAGGGTTGCCTCAGATATAGGACCTCCTTAGTTCTCTAAGCACCCATGCCACTGGAAGGTACAGCATGGTTCTGAGAGTTGGGAAAGCTCAAAGCCCTTTGCTGCAAAGTTCTTGGGCAGAGCCTCCCTAGCACATAATGCATGCTCTCCCTATGCGGTTTCACCTGTGACTTATCTTCTATTTTATTTTCCCTTTAGAGTATCAATGTGACCAGAGGAGCCAGGAAAAGAGTAAGTACTGAGACCACCATTCATTCAACAAGATCTAATGGCATTTTTTTTCCTATGGAAAATATTATCTATATATTTTTAGAAAAGTTGAACAAGATAGAAGAACCTTAAGGTTATGCTTAAGCTACTGCTTAGGATAACCTTTTATTTAACAACCAATGTTATATCCTCCCAGATATTTTTAAGTATATACAAAAGTACACATATTCACTTTTAAATGTAACAGAACAGCATTATTTTATGAACTGTTTTCACATAAATATTTAGGAAATCTTCCATTCCTAATGCACTTTTCTTCTATCATTTAAAATTATTACATAATATTTAACCATATGTCCCTTAAGGCCATGCCATACTGTGTTCATCGTGCCTCACTGTAGAGGAAATACAGCAACATTTCCTCTTTTTCACTATTATGACCAACCTTCTAATGGGCAACCACACGCCTGTCCCTCTGGGCGTGTCTTTGGTTATTTTCTTATTACTTGGGTAAATATATTCACATTGCTCTTTAGAAAGGTTGTACCTCTCCCTGGAATCTCACCTTCCACACTGAATGCTCTTCTTGTTGTTTTCCAGTATTATTGTGGAAGAAAAAGTATTGCTTTGTTCTGAATGTCTTTGATTGTTAGTAAAGATGAACACTTCAAATACCCATGGCCGCTTTGGCAGGATATTTAACTCTAGCAAGCAATGCAGAGCTTCTACCCCTGAGTTTGTTAATTTAAAGAAGCAAAGTACAATACAGTATTTGCTTTAAGAATCATTAAAAAAAAAAAAAGAGTAATTGATGTGGCAGATTGGAAGGTCAAATACTAGTTTGGACAGCAGTGGTTGATGAACAGCTGTCTCTGGCCTCTCCCTGGCTGGCTAAGCGCTTGACGTAAAGTCCTTGGTGAGTGGTATGGACTTCAGCTTCTAGGCTTTATGGAAGGCAAGAGGAAGAGCCAGATCTTCTGCTACCCTGCTGGGGACAAAGGCCCACCACAGTGTTTTGGGTGAGCCCTGATCCCAGGAGAGAGGTGGCCATGATCTTCCAGGCCCTGAGAACCATGGCCTCAGCAGTTCCTCTGGAGTCTTCCATGCACAGTGCTCTGTTGGACATTATGTATTCTGTGCACAATGGACGGGACTTGGTTTCAGTGAGGACCTGGGAATAAAGGGTTCCTGCAGCATCACTTGTGTATCCAAGAAGATTCTCTTGGGGTTTTGTTTAGGATGAAGATTCAGGGACTGATGTAGGAGAAGGCACTGATGACTGGTCCCAATCCAGAGCCACAGTGCGACCCCCGGACCAGCTGGAGTTGACTGATGCAGTGAGTGAGCAGCCTGCTCTCCTCGCTCTTTTTCTTTCCTGCTGCTTCAGAGATGGGCTCTTTCACAGTGCAGATTAAAAGCCTGCACAGAGCTTACAGGGGCCCTGAGGTCCTGAGTCTCAGAGGTGAGGGGCGGGGGGCAGGAGGAAACCCAAGCACACTTTATGCATGACCCTCTTGGTGTTTCTCTCCTTCAGGAGTTAAAGGAAGAGTTTACTCGGATCCTGACAGCCAACAACCCACATGCACCCCAGAATATTGTCAGGTACAGCTTCAAAGTAAGTCATGCCCTCCTGGGCAGGGCCTTGATGTGCTCTGGAAGCAACAGTGACTGAGCACATTGCCAAAGCTTCTGGCTATTTCACAAGTGATCACTTGTAAAATGAGGTCCTTGGCTAGAAATTTACAAGGAGTGTTCCAGGGTTTGGGGATCAGAGGTCAGAAGACAACATTACGGAGCTGCTTCTCTTTCCCCCCTGTGGAGATCTAGGCCATCAAACTGAGGTGGTCAGGTGTGGCAGCAAGCTTAGCCACCTAGCAGGCCCTTTTGAAATTTCGAAATGAATCTCCCTACAAGTCTTGCTAATTGAAAGCCTTCCTATCCCAAGGATTCTTTCCTTGTGGTGCTGGCACTGACTCCAGTAAGCTGAGAGCTTTGCACACACTGATCAAATATTTCACCATGAGCTGTGTCCCAGCTTTTCATTTCCAAGAATGCCTTTCTCATATACAGACACATTCTCCAGCAACACAAGCTGTTGGGTTTTAGAAGCTTAGCTTTTCCTCCAGGCAGAGCCCTGGATAGAGTCCCCTCTGAAAGAGCTGTTGGCCTCACATCCACATAGGATCTTTCCATCTGAGAGCAGTCCTGGCAGGCTCTGGGCACATGGTCCCTTGATGGGATAGGCAGGTAGGTGACTCCCAGGGTAAGCGTGGTGTGAGCAAGTTCTGAGTCAGAGACAACGCTGTTTCAAGCCACTGCAGGGTCAGCGCCCGTAAGGTCTGTACAGAATTCCAGAGGACTTTTGAGCGGAAGCAGAAGTCATACCTCTGTTTCTTATTTCACTTCGGGGCTTTTTTGTTCCATTCCTACTGTGTGCCAGCATCCTATATGAGGTATTTTTACACAGACTATCACAGACAACCCTCATGTTTCTTTGATAGAAAACTATTGTTATCTTCTTTTTTTTGATTCTGCTGTTAAATTACATAAAACAAATGGCAAATGTCACACAACCTGGGTTCAAGGCAAGATGTGAACTAGTTTGTCTGACAACTACCTAGTTTAAAATTGCTTCTTTTAAACAATTTTGCCAGCTGTAGTGGCTCACACCTGTGATTCCAGCACTTGGGAAGCAGAAGCAGGAACATCATTGTAAATCTGAGGCCAGCCTACGATATATCCACATGGCAGACCCTGTTTCGGCAAACAGAGAAAACAAAACATTTTATATACACACAGACACACACACAAACACACTAGTGGGGAGAGTTTTGAATATATAAGAAGAAACCTGTAGTACAAATTTCAAAATATTCAAAAATGGTAGAAAGTAAATGTCCCTCTGTCCCTGTCCTTTTCAGCTTTTTATTTGTTTCATTTTTGAGACAGGGTCTCCCTATACAACCCAAGCTGACCTCAACTCCATGATCCTTGGGTGCCTCAGCTTTGCTGGTTATGGGTTTATACCTGTGTTTTGCCATGCATGACTTCGTCTTAGAGGTGGTTTTGTCAGAGTACGGTTTACATGCCCATAATTCACCCATTTAAAACTTACAAGGACGGCGTGTAGCTTATTCATAAATTATACAACTCTCAACACAATCAATTTCCAGGCTCTTTTTGTCCTCGTTTTATTTCTTAGAGACAGAATCTCATAATCCAAGCTGACTTTGAGCTTGCTGTGTAGCTGAGTATGACCTTGAACTTCTGATCCTCCTGACTTCACTCCTGAGTGCTAAGATTACAGGTGTGTACTTCCATGCCAGGCTTAAAATATCTTTATTTCCCCAGCAGGAGACTCCATACCTCATAGTTGTTACTATTCAACCCTCCATCTCCTCTAGCCTGTGGAAGCACTAAGTTATTTTTGTTTCTAGATTTGCCTATTCTGGACATGTCCGGGGATGGGTCCTATACTTTGTAGTCTTGTGTGTTGGGCATCTTTCATTCAGCATCACATTTCAATTTATCCATGTTATAGCATATGTCAATACTTCATGTCTTCTTATTGGCAAATAATATTTCATTCTATGATATGCTGCATTGTCCTTACCCATCCATCAGTTGAAGAACATTTGAATTGTTTATTCTTTGGGAAATTCTAAGTAATGCTGTTTTCTGTTCAGATTGTGTAGTCAGCCCTTTCACAAAGATGTTGAAGCAAATCCTAATGTATTTCCTAAAAGATACTAATCAAGAGTTTTGCTAATGGTCCTCCTTGGGCAGCTCACTTAGGTTAGAAGGAAACCTGTACTCTCTGAAGTCATGCTACACTGTGGCATACCTTCCTGTCTTGCCATTAGGAAGAGGGTGCCTCTGGGACTCAGTGGCAAGAGCATGACAGGCAGGTGTTGCCTTTCCATTTCAATGTTCTCTTCTTGCCCTTCCTTTGAGTAAACTTCCAGCTGGCTCCCAGGAAACCTCACTTTATGTTTTCAGTATCTCTGGCCTCTTGAAGTTCTCCTACAGTGCCTGTCTCTATTGGTCCTGCAAGGTCTGGTTCTAGGTTCCAAGGCTGCTCCTTTCCACTGATTTGCTAAATAATCTGAATTCTATCCCTACATTGAAAAGGAAGTTCCCAAGTAGCTGTTAAGGACAGAATGGAGGCAAAGTCTTAAAGAAAACTTAATGGGTCATTTATTCTCATGGGGACCTCCGTCATCATCACGCTGTTAGTTTCTGTTTTATTGAGCATTGATACTGAGCACTTATGTGTTAGGCGTTGTGTTAATTGATTACTTTCATTATTGTCAATACTTACACTATCTTGAAAATTGGATGACATTATTTTATCTGATAGAAGAAGAAACTAGGGCCTGGGGGTTTATGATAAGGTCATGGTCATAGTAAGGAGCAGACTTAGGATCTGAGGCCAGTTCTGCCATCAAAGGCCATGCTGCTAACCACTACACCTTTCCATCCCATCCACCTGAATTACTGAGAGGAGAGGCTTCGCAGTGACTTTTTAAGGCAGAGCCTCACAAGCTGTTGTGATAGTGGCCTTCCCAGACTCCCAGGCCAGGGATGTCTGCTAGAGCCAGAGCCTATAGCCTGTTTTGATTTTTTTTTTTTTAATCTCAGGGTGCCATACAAATATAATTATCTTCCACATGATGTGAAATGGTTGAACAGAACTGTTTTAAAAGGAAAGGTGCCTCTGGTCTTCAACTCCATTTTGTGGTTGCTAGGAGTCTAATCAACAAGGAGAGTGCACAGGAACTCTAGATCACAGGTTCTGTGAAAGTAGGAACTGTGTCTGTTCTTGCTCAGCTTTATATCCTGGGCACCTAGGAAATACTTGGCACGTTATAGCTGCTCAAAAATTCCTTGTTAAATGAACAAATACGGTTTCTTGGGCTTGAAGCCCAGTCCTGCTTCTCATCTATGTGACCTGGACAAGTGCCAAACCCAAACTTTCTCTGGATTCTGTGGTCCTCCTGGACAGAAGTAGGAGATTAGAGATTTGGTTGTCTGGGCTATTCTGTCCCCTCTGACATCCACTAACATGGTGTGGCGAGGCTTTGGCAGGTGTACTGGATGATTGTGTCTGACTTGCCCAAGGTCTGAGCGGAGGCAGGTGAACTGGGGTCCCTTGGCATGGATGCAGAGGCCAGGTACCTGAGCCAGTGATCCTTAAGTGTGGACTGCTTCAGGCTTGGAGCAGGGGATATTGAAAAATGAGGCTTTGAGACCAAACATAATGGCTCACACCTTTAATCCCAGTGCTTGAGAGGCAGAGCCAGGCAGCTTTCTGAGTCTGAGGCCAGCCTGACCACATAGAGAGTTCCAGGTCCATGTGGATCTCACATTTTTTAAAAAAGTGATTTTTAAACAAGTCTTTGATGAGAACTTTAAAAAACAAATTATTTTATTTGTCTTTCCTTCTTTAAGCAGAAACACAGTGAAAAACCATGCTAACAAGGGTTACTGCTCCTTTAAGAAGGGCGAAATGCTGGCCTGAGAGTAGCAGTTCTCAACCTGCATGCCTGACCCCTTTGAGGTGGACTGACCTTAGGCATCATCTAAGACCATCAGAAAACACAGATATTACATTACAATTCATAACAGTAGCAAAATCACAGTTATGAAGTAGCAACAAATAATTTATGGTTGTGGGTCACCACAACATGAGGAACTGTATGAAAGGACTGCAGCATTAGGAAGCTGGGGAACCACTGTTTCAGAGAATTAAGGCAGACTACATTCTGACAGCAGACAGAAGGACAGAATGACAGGGATCCCTTTGTGGGATCCCTGGTCTGATTTAGTCCCTTTCTTTCCAGGAAGGCACGTATAAGCCTATTGGTTTTGTGAACCAGCTGGCGGTTCACTTCAGCCAGGTGGGGAACCTGATTCCCAAAGACTCGGATGAAGGACGTCGGCAGCACTACCGTGATGAGCTAGCAGGAGGTAGGACTGTGGGCCAGCCTAACGCTGCAGCCAAGCCTGGCTCTCTGAGGACTCTGTCCCTCCAGAGCTTTGTGGGGCCTCTACTTCCATGATGTCCAACAGCAAGCTGTTTTGGACAGTCCTGAGAGCCCCTCCCCCGAAGTCAGGGAAGGCCCAGGGCATAAGCAGGATCTGAAAGGCAGGAAGAAAATGACCCTCCCTGCTAGAGCCTGAGCAGGTGTGGATCCTGAGCTCATCAGCAACATCTTGTCAAGGCTCCCAGGAATCTGCCAAGGTGGTGACTTCAGATACAGAAATCTTTGAAGAAGACGAAGAACCCAAAGAAGGAGAAACTGAAGCTGGGAGTCAGACAGATATACCTGCTGCAACTGAGGTGGGTGGTTGCTCCTTGTCCCCACTACTCCAGATAAGCTGTGGATGGAGGCTTTCGGGGTGGGAAGTAGAGGCTGCCAATGCTTCAGGCAGCATCCTCTCGCCTGCCCGCATCCTACTTGATCAGGGTGTCCTTCCTGATCTTTGTTTCCAGATGCCTGAAAAAGTGATTGAAGAAGAACTGATGGCTCCTATGCAGCCCAGAGAACGAAAACTAACTAACCAGTTTAACTTCAGTGAAAGAGCATCACAGACCTTCAACAACCGGCTCCGGGTAGATCCCCTTTTACTATGAAGCTCTGTGCTGTACAATGGGAAGGCAGACACAGGCCTGAGATAGGTTCTTGTAGGCCTGAGACTGGCAGATGTAACAGGGAAGACCAGTTTATCTCTCCAAAGAGAACCGCAAGCCATCTAGCCAGTTGGGGGGTGGCTAGAGCCCTCAGACCTCACTGAGAGGCTGACACTTGGGTTAGACTTGAAGAGAGAGTTGAAATCAGGACTGGAGTATGCCAGCGACATGGGGAGTCTTGGAACAATATAACTGAAATTGATGGTCTCTATCAGCTTAGACATGCTAGAATGTTTCCTGACTATGAAGGATCCAGGCTGAGAGAGCCTGGCAGGTTTTAGGTAAGATACACACACACACACACACACACACACACACACACACACGCTCTACAGTAGTACATCTATGATGGAGCGTAGCACCCTGTGTGGTCCTTAGGCTGATGTTGGATAATAGGGTGATACTTAATGGGGAGGATGCAGAGAGCACATTATTAGGGAGAAACCTTCTCTTGTAAGGGACATTAGCCCCAGCACTTGTGGGAGGCTGGCCTCTGTACCCTGTGTCTGGAGACTGGTGACATGTTGGCTTCTTGAAAATCTGTCCATCTTCCACCTGGACCCTTTCTTGATTAAAAACTGGTGAAGTTTTTCTTCACTGCCCTTGCCCTTCAGCTTAGGCTACTGAAGGAGGCCAAAATGGAAGAACAAATGTGGGATCTGAATAATTAAATCTTTCACCAGGCTCTTCTTTGCTTCTGTTACATCCCTTCCTCAGCTCTAACCAAAATGCTACTAAAGATGTACTGTTGGGTTAAGTGAGGGGGTGAAGCCATCCATGGGCCTCGGTTGTCACTGTTCTCTAGGATCGGGAGTGTCAGATGGAGCCTCCACCGAGGACAAACTTTTCAGCCACAGCCAATCAGGTAAGATCCTGGCTCAGCCTGAAAACTGCCCTCATCTGCACTCCAGTACATCCTGGAGCATTCAGCAGCGATAGGCTCCTCTGACAATCTGCCTTGATTATCCTGAGAAGCCAGTCTCTGAACGCTAGGCACATCAACAACAGGTACCCAGCAGTAAGCTCTGCACCAGCCGCATGCCTGTAGGCCAAGGTGGTACATGCTGGAGACATGGCTTCTGGAGTTTCACCTCACAACAAGTGAGAATGCTTGTTCCCAGGAGCTTTAGGGAGCCTATGGCACCCTGTGACTGGCTTTAAAGTATCAAAGTACTTTTGACTGCCTTTACAGCAGCCTTTGGCATTCTTGCAGAACCCCCACCCCCATCCTTCCCCATTAAGCCCTAGTGGCTGGCAGTGCTGACTTGGAGACCTAAGCTCAGGCCCAAGCTCGGCTGGTTCCTCTATGAGATCCTAGGCACAATATGCTTCACTTCTTAATGCTTTTGTTTCTTTCTTTGTCAATAAAGGATGATAAGCTGCCTCACAGAGGTGTTGGAGGTCTCTGAATGAGATAGCAAATGCTGAAGTGCCTTGCGGAGAGGCCTATTGGCCTTCAGGCAAATCTTTAAGTGTAAGGTGTGCCTGTAAGGGTCTGGCCTCCAGGTGGCAGTGACTGCCCAGTCTAGGGAACACTCTGCCAGCTGCTGCATTTGCCCAGCACCAGAGCCTTGCTGCTGCTTCTGCTGCTTGGGCTTGCCTTCAGGTCCAGTTGGCAGAATACTTATTTATTTCCTTCTGATCTTAAGATGTGGACAGTGAAGTAGACAGCCACTACTTGAGCCAAATAGGTTTATCCTGTTTCCATGGAGGCAGACACTTTTTCCATTAATATTGTGTGTGTGTTTGAGTGTGTGTAGGTCAAAGGACAGCTGGCAGGACTCAGGTTTCTTTCCACCATATGGTCCTAGAGATTGAACTCAGGTCATCAGGCTTGGTGGAAAGTGCCTTATCTCCAAACTATCTCACCAGGTTGAGTAAAAAAAAAAATTAAGATTTATTTATTTATTATACAGTGTTCTGCCTGCATATACCAATACACCTGCATGCTAGAGGAGGGTGCCAGATCTCATTATAGATGGTTGTGAGCCACCATGTGGTTGCTGGGAACTGAACTCAGGACCTCTGGAAGAGCAGCCAGTGCTCTTAACCTCTGAGCCATCTCTCCAGCCCATAAGCTTTTGTAAAAACATCTTTAAATTCAGTTTTAGAAGTCTCTAACAAACTGTTGGTTACACAGTTTTCTGCCTGGTGGGGGTGAAACCTAGAACAACATTCATTGATCTCCAGCTTAAGATTCAGACTCTGTGCTAGCTCAGAGGAACCCTGAAAACTCCTTCCTGCCTGTTCCAGGGTGATTAGCACGGAAGACAGACTTTGACCATGTAATTACAATGAGCCAATTGGAGTGTGCTATGGAGACATTTGACGGGGGGTAATATGACCAACTCTTGCAGGCTGACAAGCTGGCAGGAGTGAAATCTGTGCCCTGTGGTGACTCTCCTGTCTTGCTCTCACCCAGTGGGAAATCTATGATGCTTATGTAGATGAGCTTGAGAAACAGGAAAAGACCAAAGAGAAGGAGAAGGCAAAGACTCCAGTGGCTAAGAAACCAGAGAAGATGGCCACGAGGAAACTGACATCTATGGAGTCCCAGGTTTGGCGGGGGAGATCTACAGCTGTCACAGAATGTCTGAGTGGGATCTCGGCTGTGGGTAAACAGAAGCTCAGCTCTTTACAAGGTTTCACAGATACTCAAAGGTTAAGGCTGATATTGATGGGTGATTTTTTTTTTTTACCTTGGGAGAAGATGTGATAGCAGAGAGAATTGTGTCTGGCAGTCCACATCTCTCGAATCCCTATTCTGAGGGTCAGAAGGGTTTGGGAATTGCCGGCCTGAGACAGACTTTCTTGACCAGTTTCTATTGTCTGTATTGCAGGGAAGTTAAGGGTCTGTTCACAGTAGGGGTGTGATCTAGAGATAAGCCACTCTCCTTGAGCCTAGGGTGAAGATGATAAGTTTCTCTGCCCTCAGTCTTCTGTTTAATTATGTCTGATAAAGTGATAGTTAGTTTTGTTGTCAACTTGACAACTAAATCACCTAGGAAGAACTACCTAGGAAGAATGGCCTAGGAAGACTCACCTAGGAAGAAGGCTCAGTGAGGAACTGTGTGGGTCAGATTGGCCTTTGGGAATCTCTTGGGGGAATTGTCTTTTTAAAATGTATTTTAATTTTTTATTTTATGTAATTAGTATGAAGGTGTCAGATCCCTTGGAATTCACATTATAGACAGTTGTGAGCTGCCATGTGGGTGCTGGGAATTGAACCGGGATCCATTTGGAAGAGCAGACAGCGCTCTTAACCACTGAGCCACAGGGAATTGTCTTGATTGCATTAATTGATGAGGGAAGACCCAACCTATTTCAGGTGACACTATTCCCTGGGTTTGAGCGCTGGACTGCATAAAAGTGGAGAGCATGAGCTAAGTATCAGGCATGCATGTATTCATTCTCTCTCCCCGACTGGGATGCGAATAGCTGTCTCAAGTTCCTGCTGCCCTGAGCTGCCTGCTATGATGTATTGTAACCTGGAATTTTGAGCTAAACTAAACCATTATTCCCCTAAGTTGCCTTTGCCAGGGTATTTTTATCATAGCAGCAGAAGTGAAACCAGGTCAGTGAGCCTTCAGGGCCATGCTCCAGTCCAAACCTAATCCTAGACACTGTCAACATCAGGTCAATGGATGTAGCCACCTTGAGTTGGAGCCAAGTGTGCGTTTCAGAAAGACCTTGGTTGTGGGCTTAGAGCAGTGCAGCCAGCAGGAGTGTGGGGTCAGCACAGAGCAGTGATTGAGCCGTAGAGTGATGGCATGGAGGAGACCAGCACAGGAGATTCTGGAGAACCTCGTTTATTCCCACAGCAGAGAAATATCTGGGTCAGGAGATGGAGTCCCAGAGCGGAGATCCTATGGGTGTAGCCTGCTTTGGAAGGAGGGTCACAGAAGCTAGAGGCTGGTTTCAGCACTTTGGAGAGCGCTCAGGGCGCCTCTCGGGATGGCAGTTCTGCTCCTCTCCAACCATACTAAAACCCAGCTCAGTTAAAAGAAGTTGTTTCTGTATCTCAGGTGTGCCCACTTCCGCTTAGTTCTGTTCCATGATCCTGATGTCACATTTGAAGGGATGTTGATGACCAAGAGACACTATCTTTCCGTTTTGTTTTTGAGTCACTAACCAAGCTGCATGATGGTGGACAAGCTGAGTTCCTCAGTCCGTGAGTGGCATAGAATCCCCACCTTGAGGGCTGTGAGGATCCTTGTTTCCCTTGCACCCTTCCTCAGAGGAAGGGGATGTCAGAGGAGGTTCTGGTCTGGGTTAGGGTCAATGTGAAGATCTGTGAGGGTTTGGGCTATTGGCTCTGCTCGAACCCACAATGGCAGAAACCCCAACTGGAATGATTAAGACCCAGAAACCAGGAGGAGACTATGGCTGAAACGGAAAACTTTCCTGAGGCTAAAGTCTGCCAAAGCTGATGCCTAGCGTTCCCCATAACTCTGGGTTCTTCCAGCTTTGCTAACATGGAGAACAGAGGGATAGGCAGATTCTTACCTGCTTTCTCCAGGGAGTACCTTGGTAATAAACCTCTCCCCAAAGGAGGTGAGTTGTAGCTGGGAATGCCAGCACTGAGCCGGGCTGTCTGTAGACTAGAGAACGGCAGGAGCATCTCTTTTTGCCCAGGCCTAGAGCGTGAGCACAGGAGCATCATTTCCTCAGAGACCTCAGTCTACTTAGGTTGGTAAAAACCTCAGGTGTGGGCAGCGAGAAAAGTGTAAGTTCATGAGACCCTACGGGAAGGTCTCCAGTAATGGACCTCAGGTCTCAAGCTCATCAGCAGTTTGGCTGAATACACTGAAAGGAAGATTTGGCAGGCGTAAGGAAACAAACGGGATCAGAAGCCACAGTTCAGTCAGAGCCCATAAAGAGATGTGGCTACTCCAATAGCACAGCACCTAGAACAATGGAAGTAATAACCCACTGTCCTCTCCTCTGACCATAGCTAGGGTCCTGTGCCTTCAGGACAAAGATAGTGTAGTCAGACTGAGCAGGAACTAGCTTCCAGCCTGGCCTTGATAAAATGAGCTGGAGTTTTCTGAAGCCTCAGCTCCCCCAGGTGTAAAGCCATCTTAATGACATCATATTTGCTAGGTTGTTGAACAAACCTGAGATAGTGTGTGTGCAGCACCAGCATTATTACAGTTAGTAGCATGCCACACCAGGGCTGCGGGAGCTTGGAAGAGAAGGAAGTGCTGCTGGGAGGAAATGAGGTACTGCCTTGTATAATAAAAGGGGTTACCTGTGGCAAGAGAAGAGAGTTCAGATTGCAGGCAGACAAGCCAGGGAAGTGGGGTCAGTTAACTGACTCTCCATCCACAGTAAGCCCTGCCTCTCACAGGTCTTGCCTGGGAGCTATAAAAGGAGGGGATTATGCTTTGGGTCAAGAAGTGAAAGAACTGTGTGAGAACCGGTAGATCTGAGCACTGTACTTACAGACTCCAACGTTTGCCCTCCTTGCCCAGTTTTCTGAGATAGAGTCAGTCTGGAGTGTCTTGAGGGACCCTCTGGGAGCCATTTCCCAGAGGCCAATGTGAGCGCCTCTACCTGTAAGCTGTGCTTCTTTTGAACACATGGCCACCAGGATGAGCTAAACCCACATAGGTGTGACTGTATTTCCTCCCCACAGCAGTCTCTGAGGGAGATGCTGTCCATCCAGCCTCCCTTTGTCACATGACTCTATGACTCAGAGAATTCAAGTACCTGGCTCAGGGTTGCTTCCAGCTCCTTCCTGCTTAGTGGACTAGGAAAGAAATACACACATATCTGTGTGATCTAGAACCTAGTTTCTTTTTAAGTTTTCAAAATAGATTTTATTTATTTAATTTGTGGGAGGAGTGTCTCACAGGAGCCAAGCATGTGTAGAAGTCAGAAGATAATTTGTGGGAATCCTTTCTCTCCTTCCACAATGTGAATCCCGGGGACGAACTCAGGTGCTTGGGTTCTACCCACTGAGCAACCTTGCCAGGCCTAGAACCGAGTCTTTCAATCACAGCCCAACGTGGCCTCTCCCAGGAGTACTAATCTCAAGAATGACATGTTCAACTCATGGATCCTTCTGGACGCCCACATAGCTTATTCCCTCTAGCCACTCACCCCAAACTCTTTGCACTTTTCTTTTCTAGAGTTTATTTTTTATTATTTTTAATTGTGTGTATGTGGGTAGATGGGTTATGTGCACATGAATGAGGTGCCTTTGGAGTCCCAAAATCACGAATTGCTCTGGAGCTGGAGTTAGAGGCTTTTGTGTGCTGGGGAAGGGACTCCAGTCCTCTGCAAGAGCAGTAAGGGCTCTTAACTGCTGAACCATCTCTCCAGCCCCTTCCTGTGCTTTTCTTGAAACCCTGAACTTCTTGCTTCTCCAATAACCTGCGAAGTGGTTTATTTTATGGGCTTGTGGAAGCTGCTTTTTCATTCAGGTGTTGTTTTCTAGGGTAGAACTTGCTGCTTTGTCTGTGGTCTGAGAAGGGCCTCTGGTTAGCAGGCCCAGTTTGGCCTTGCATTCCACATTCAGCTCATCTCTACCCATCTAGGCCTCTGTGACTCCCTAACCCTGAAACTAAGTAAGGAGTTTGGGCCAGGAGATCCCTGAGGCCTTGTGTGGGGATCTGTTGCTCCCTGGTGTGAGAAAGCCTCTGCCACCACCAACGCCTCTAACAGGGCCTTGAGTGCTCTGCCTCCAATGCCTCCCTGGTCTCTGTTCAATGCCTTTTCTTGAGCTCAGAGAGGTACCTTTTCCAAAACAGACTCCAGATGGAAGAGTGAGAGGCAGCTTTACCCAGGGCCCAATACATCCACTCTGCCCCCTGTGCACCTGTAAGGGAAGGGCTCCTAGCATGTGGTGTCTGTGTAGGGTATATTTGGCTGTGAACCACTTCTGAGCCATAGGTAACCACAGGGTCATATGACCTTCACAGGCACTAACTGATAAAGACATGTGCCTTTCCATATCTCACAGAGTGATGACATCACCAAAGTGTCCCAGGCTGCTAAAATTGTAGAGCGCATGGTCAACCAAAATACGTATGATGATGTTGCTCAAGGTAAGACCTAAGAGGATAGTAGATATCATCATTTTTAGGTGTGTGTGTGTGTGTGTACATGCGTGTGCTAGCATATGTAAGTGTTCTTCCTTGTCTGAATGTACACTACATGTGTGCCATGCCCACAGAGGCCAAAAGAGGACATAAATCTCTTATAACTGGTGTTATAGACACTTGTGAGCTTATGGGTACTGGGATCCAAACTCAGATCCTTTGCAAGTGCTCTTAACTGCTGAGCCAACTTGCCAGTCCTGACAATAGTATTTAATATTCTTCACAAAAGACGAACATTTGAGTGTTCCATGCTAAATCCTATAGTAAAAGGGAAAAAATAAAACCACAACAAAACCAAAACCAACCACCTCACTTCCTCCTCTGGGTGCCACTGAAAAAATAAGACTTACGCAAGTCCATCATGAGTGGTGGTGTGAAAACAGTGGGCACAATGACATGATCTGGCATGTAGCAAAAATGAGCTGCAATGAATAGCAATGTGGTGTCACCTTCCCAGCAGTCCTGGGGAGCAGGCAGAGCAGGAATGATTACTCTGACTTTGCATATGTGCCTCAGAGGCTAATGCTGCCTGAGTCTTGAGTAGCAAAGAGAAGGCAGATTTAGGTCTTGAGCTTGTGCCCTAGTCTTCACCCAGTTGGCTTGAAGATGCTGACACAAGAATTCATGGGAGAGGAACTTCTCTGGAGGCCCCTCCCCCAAGAAGAAAAAAATAGGTGGTGGTACACACCTGTGATTCCAGCACTGGGGAGGCAGAGACCTCCCCAGTGAGTTTGGGGCCAGCCTGGGCTATAGAGTGAATTCCAGGACAGTGGGGCTACACAGAGAGACCCTGTCTTGAAAAACAAAACAAAACAAACGAGCAAACAAAATAACAACAAAAAAGGAGAAGGAGTAGGAGGAAAAGAAAAATAAACCTGAGGTGCACAGAAAAGGCAAAGGATGGCCTCAGGGAGCACTCGGTGCCAGGGACATGCAGGCTCTGTTGAGATGGTGCAGAGGGAGGCTGTACTCAGCAGAGCATGGCATGAGCAGTGACTTTGTGGCAAACATTGGTAGGGATCGACACTGGGGGCAGGGCGAGCAGCAGGCTCAAGGGCCCAAACAGGAGCTCTTGGGATATGGTGAGAATTCAGGCTGAAGAAGCGGTTAAGGGCCTTCTCTCTAGACAGCTGCTCTGCTTTGCCAGGCAGAGCAAAGCCCAGTGAGAGCAGAGCAAAGGAGGGTGTGATTGGGCAGAATTCAGGGACAGAGGTGAAGGTATGGGATGGAACAGACTTCTCCATGCCTTGTCAGGTTGTAGCATAGCGAATGGAACAAGGGCGAGCTGTGATAGTGGAAGAACAAGCACCAAAAGCTCACTGGGAAAGGGCTTTGTGCCAGGCATTGTGGGGTACATGTAGCCATAGCATTTTATGTTTTCTGAGCAGCTCTGCGTGACACGGAGAGCATTGTCATCCCATTTTACAGATGAGAAACCAAGCTAATATGCTACTACTTGAACAAAATCACAGGCTGTGGGAGTTGTGAGTGGTGGAGCCAGAACTGGAACACAGTCCCCTTGGTAGATCTTTTGACGGACTGCTTTACCATGAGGCTACAGCCACGAGCTGGAGGGGGCATTTCAATGAGCAGACTCAACAGATCTATGTAGCAACTAGTTAGTGATGAGGCGAGCAGGGAAACTGATTCAGAAATGCCTCAATCCTGGGGGCCTGGGAAATTGTGGTATCTCTGACAGTGCTAAGGAAATGGAATACTTCCCGTGGTGTGAGCAGCACATTCCCAAGTGACTTGTATTTCCCTAAGAGCTTGTGCATTTATGTGGAGCAGCCACCTCCAGAACTGCCAATGCCATGCTGCTGGCTGGTTTTCTTTGCTGACAGCCTAGGGTCCTTCTTGGTGACTTGATGCTCATTGCTCACCCATGGGACACAGAAACTAAGGCTCTGAGACCAGCAGGCCAAACGAGCCCCCTCATTATTGTTCAGGCTGAAAACAACCTTGAGCTTTTCAAAGCTGTCAAAGTGCACAGCAGCTGTGAATGGATTTGTCACTCACACAGCTTTGCTTCCTGAGACCCAGTCTCTGCCAGTGGCCCACCACAAGGCGCAATTAATACCCATGGAGAAATTGGCCTTGTGAACCGCTTTTATTTACAAGAACACAGTCACATTAAAATGCATTGAACTTTGATTTTTTTTTTTAATTGTACAGTGTTTTCCCTTTGGGAAAGTGTAATCATGAAAAAGAAATAAAAATAAAGAAGCGTTACCAATTAATCCTCACACTGAAATGAGGGATTTTCAAAGTTCCCCCATGCTCAAGAATCTTGATGTGATTAAGGCTCACACCTTTCTGACCACTCAAAAAAATTTTTTTCCCAAGAGAGTTTTGAAGTTAGGATGCAATCCTACAGCCTCAAGGTATGGAACATTGTGGGCAGGGCTGGGCAATGACTGGGCAGACTGTAGAATTAGAGAGCTCTTTCTGATTTGCCATCTCACCAGAAAGAAGACAGACCATTTCTTGACTGTTGCTTTATTTCCTTGAGCTCCTTGAAAGGATGTTGGCACAGTGTCCTGGAGGCACAAGGGTGGATATAACGTTGCCCTACTCTCTAGGAAGGAGCTGTGTGGCATGGAAGTCAGGCAAAAAGACTGACAGATGTCTCAGTAGAGGAGAGGCAGGGTTGGACTAGAAAAGAAATTAACTCTACTCAAAAGAGCCATGTATGCAGGTATGGTGGCTCATGCCTGAATTTGCAGCATTCAGGTGGCTGAGACAGGAGGGTTGCCGTGAGTTACAGACCAGCCTGGGCAATGTAGTGGGAAAAAATAGAACTAGCTACTTAGAAGACTGAGGCTGGAAGATCACTTGAGCCCAGACATTCCAGTCCAGCTTGGGTAATATTAGGTTCCAGGCCCTCTAGCTACCACATGCAAATTCTTCTTCTCCTCCCTCCCTTCCTCCCTCCCTCCCTCTCTTCCTCTCTCTCTCTGTCTCTCTCTGTCTCTCTCTCCTTCCCTGCCACCAAAATTAGGTCACACTCCTCTGCAACTCTCTCCTGACAGAGTTGATAAGCAACACTTGAAAGTGAGACTCCATTCTCTAAGAAAGAAAAGGAAAATGAAGATCCTATAAAAGAAAAGAATGTTGACTAAAATAAAATAAAGAACAAGTAGGAGTCAGCCAGGCAGAGTAAGGCATTCTAGACATGGAAAAGCTCGGAAGAAACACAAGGACAGCTGTTAAGAGACGAAGTGGAGGTGGTAGTGAGGAGCCTTGATCTGACCATAGAACCTAGTTCAAAGAGAGCCACTGAGAAGATTCAGGGGCATGGGGAGGGCCGTGTGCTGGAGAGAGTTTGCTCTTGCTCTGCTAGCCCTGAAGGGCATGGGCTGAAGAAGAGGTATGGGGGTGGGGAGGTTAGGAAGACCAGCTTGAAGAATATAATAGGCAGGTAATGGCTTTGGGGATATTAATCTAGGTAGTAGCAATGAGTTTTAAAAAGATGGATATAGGGCTGGGCGTGGTGGTGCTCACCTTTAATCTCAGCACTTGGGAGGAAGAGGCAGGCAGATTTCTGTGAGTTAGAGGCCAGCCTGGTCTATAAAGCAAGTCTAGGATAGCCAGGGCCACGCAAAGAAATCTGTCTCAAAAAACAAAAACAAAAAACAAGAAAAAGGATTTTAAAAGACAGGAGGAAAATAGAAAATATAAGAAAAGATAGATGCAGGCAGTAGTGGCACGTGCCTGAATCCCAGCACTTGGGAGGCAGAGGCAGGAAGACCTCAGTGAGTTCGAGGACAGCCTGGTCTACAAAAGGACACCAGGACAGCCAGGGATACATGGAGAAATCTATCTCAAAACACCCCCCCCCCAAGGAAAAGAAAGAAAGAAAAGAAAAGGTAGAAAGAAATCAGCCAAAGATTCCTAAGCTTTCTAGTTTAGGTAAATGGAAAGGTGAGGCTTCTGGCTAACTTAGCAAAAAATGAAGGCAGTGATGATTTTAAGGAGGAAGCTGAGTTTTGGGAACCCATGGCTAAGTGTCCAGGTGGCTGCCTTACAATGAGGTTTGGAAATGAGTATAAAGTTGGGCTGTATTTTAGGGATCTAAGTGGCAGAATGAATAAAATTATTAATCAATTAGTTTTATTAACTATAAATTAACTATAAATGTAACTATAAATATTATAACTACAAAACTATTAACCAATTAATTAATTAATGGAACTATTAATCAAGAGATTAGGCCTTTTAAAGCCTAACCCTTGTCATCTGGTTGCTCTCAACTGAGCTTCCAAAGCACTGAGGAAGCTTGCAAGGGTGAGGGATGCAAAGCGGGATTCTGTGCACTCTGGATGCTTTACTGTAATTTCCCCCAACAACTAATATACATAGAGAACTTATGTGTCTGGCACTTTTCTAGACACTTTGCATATATTAAATCCAATCTGTATTTTCACGATAGTCCTTTGAAATAGGTACTATTACTATTTCCAGCTCCAAACACAAAGAGGTTCATTGTATTGCCCAAAGAGGTAACAATTTGCTTCAAAGTGTCAGTCCCTATCTGACTGTGTCTATTTGTGTTTAAGATTTTAAGTACTATGAGGATGCTGCTGATGAATACAGGGACCAGGAGGGTACGCTGCTTCCTCTCTGGAAATTTCAAAATGACAAAGCCAAGCGCCTGGCTGTCACTGCCCTCTGCTGGTGAGTACAGCTATTGCAGCAAACCTTGGCCCCATCAAAACCCGAGCCCTAAGATAAGACTATTGCACTTTACACCCAATGAGACATCGGCACAGTGGGGGATAGGACCTGGATTCTTATTGGCTCTCAGGGCCATCTAATGTCTACCATTGGTAAGAATCTGAGCTGGACAGTGGATGTCTGCAGGGCACTTGGTCACCCGTGCTCACAGGAAAGTTCATGTCCATGGGAGGGTGCTGTCTGTTTCCTGTGTCAATGAGTTCACATTTCTTTTGCAGGAATCCAAAGTACAGGGATCTTTTTGCAGTGGGACATGGCTCCTGTAAGTGCTGTACTTATTCATTTGTTGGCTCATGCAAACATCAGACACTAGGTTCCTAGTCTGTTCAGAGCTTTTTGCCAGGGGTGAGAAATACAAAGATGACCAGGATGTAGTCAGTGGCCCTCCGAAAGAGCTTGCAGGCTAATGCAGTGGCTCTTGACCTTCCTAGTGCTGCGACCCTTTAATATAGTTCCTTGTGTGTGGTGACCCCCACCCATAAAATTACTTTTGTTCTTACTGCATAACTGTAATTTTGCTACTGCTATAAACTGTAATGTAACCATCGTGTTTACCAAGGTGCTAGGTGATCCCTATGAAAGGGTCATTTGACCCTCAAAGGAGTCACAACTCACAGGTCGAGAACCACTGGTCTAATGGGAACACGCACTCTCATTTGGGCAACTTGTATTGGTCAAAAGAATAGAGCTGAACATGTCAATTGAAACTCAAAGAACAAAGGGGAAAACTTTGTAGCACAGGGACCAGAACAGGCTGAGTCTGCAGGCAGGCCACCCCTCAAAGCACATTTCAAAAAGGAAACCACTGAGGGGATTCTAGAAGAGCAGGGACAGGTTCAGTACAGGAAGGACAGCAGGCCTGAGACTGAGGCTGGGGGGCCAGGTGTGGGTGTGCCAAGGAGAAATGGAGAGAAGTTAGCCACTCGGGGAGTAGGATGGATTCCCTCCCTGCCCCTCACCTGGCCTTCCTGACCTTGCCTGAGGCAGGGCAGAGGTGAGCAAAGGCAAGTACTTGAAGTTTATTTTTCTGTTCCTGAGCCACTGGAGAGCACAGTTATCTGTGCTTCTGGTCCTGCCAGGACATGCTCAAGGTGGGCGGTGGCACATGCTGATAACTGTGTCCAGGCAACTTGCTGTTCCTTCACGTTACTCAGGCCAACCAGAAGCACCCACCACCGAGCTGGATGGTCCCTGTTCTTAGTGGGAAGGGTCCTACAGGGCAAGCCAGGCACCACTCCCTAACGCTGACAGCTTGTTCTTTGGCTGGGAGAATTCACTTCTGTGAACAGAAAAACCTTTCCTTTCTCCAAGCTGCTGCTGGCTGGCAGGCATACAAGCTCCTGGTCACTGCCCCTTAGATTAGCAATTCATTCTTTGACCAGGGTAGGGATTCAGGAGAGGGGGTCAGGGAGAAGTTGGTGTTTGTCATTCCTGTCAGGGAGGAGGCCTTGGAGCTGCTCCCAGTCCTGTGGTCTGGGCTGCCTTTGAGGATGCCCTAAATGCCTGCTTTGTGTCCCTACTCCTGAGGGTGGGCTGCTGCCAAATGGGAAGCACCCTCCCCTCTGGCAGGGAACTAGCACATTCCTCCCCCTCTGCTGCAGCTACTGGGCCTGGCATAGAGCCTAAGGTTGGGTAGGCCCTCCCAGGAGTGGGTGTGGAAACCCACGTGAGTCCCATGCTCTCTGCTTGCAACTGAGGTGAGAGTGTGGGATCCTCTGCAGAAGGTGGGAGGAGAAACTCCATAAGTCCTTGCCCATCTTCTAGCCAAGGTCAGATGCAAGGTCATATGGAGGCCATCCATGGGAGGTGGCCTTAGTCAGGAAAGTTAATACCTTCCATGAGGGAATGGCCTCAAGTTGACAGGCTCACTGCCCTCCTCTGGGCAAGCATTCACCCAGGAAATGTTTCTTTGTCTTTCATCTCACACAGCCCCAGTAGCACCCACGGGCAGCTATAGTCCTCCCCTGGAGGACTATCTCTTCTCAATATCTCCATCTCAGTACCATCAGGAAGCCTGGTATTCACACACAAGGCTGATTGTTGCTGCTTTCTTGTTCCTGTCTATTGCACAGCAGATCCCTAAGCAGAGCAAGGGAGATAGGGAATCTCTACAGAAGCCAGTGGCAGGGGCAGTGCTGTTCACTGCTGTCACTGGCACAAGAGTTACTGGCCAGCTGTGGGCCTGAGCAGGGCCAGCTGAGCATTGGCTCCTGAGATCACCTGAGGCATCCTAGGTTCTTAGACTCCCCAGAAGGAAAAGCGCAAGGTGAGGCAGCACCTGGTTGTGGACAGGGTCGTTGTGAGAAACAGCTTGTCTCACCAGTTTCTAGCACAATCTTTGAAAGTTCCCAAATACCAAACCCCCAGGGAGAAAAAAAACTGGCTGAAGACAAACACTGAATGAGAATTCAGGTTTACTGGTGAGTTTAATCCCATCAGGTGCAGACCAGGCCTCTTAAGCTTTCTTTTCCCCCTAAAATTCCTAGATGTTTATTCTGGGACTCAGCCACAGAAAAATTAGGTAGTGTCTTAGTTACAGTCACTACTGCTGTGAGAACCAGGACTAAAGCAACTGCGGAGGAAAGGGTTTATTTGGCTTAGGCTTCTGCATCACAGTTCCTCACCAAAGGAAGTCAGCACAGGAACTCAAGCAGGGCAGGAACCTGCAGGCAGGAGCTGGTGCAGAGGCCATGGAGGGTGCTGCTTACTGACTTGTTTCCCATAGCTCGCTCAACCTGCTTTTCTATCGAATCCAGGACCACCTGCTCAGGGGACGCACAGCCCACAGTGGGCTGGCCCTCCTCTACCAATCACTAGTTAAGAAAATGCCCTACAGGCTTGCCTGTAGCCCATCTTATGAAGACATTTTCTTAGTTGAGGTTCCTCCTCTCAGATGCTTTAGCTTGTGTCAAGCTGACATAGACTATGCAGCACAGGTGAGACAGGCAGACATATTCTGGGGCCTGCCACATCCTTAGCACAGTTCCTGGGGCTAGATACAGAGAGAAGAGGAAGCCAGGTGCTAGTGCCTTAGACCTTTAATCCCAGAACTTGGGAAGCAGAAGCAAACAGATCACTGAGAATTCAAGGCCAGCCTGGTCTAAAGAGCAAGTTCCAGGAGAGCCAAGGCTATACAGAGAGGCACTGTCTGAAAAAGACAAGAAGAAGGAGAGGAGGAAGAGGAAGAAGAGGAAGAGGAGAAAAGAAAATATAAGCAGCAAACCCGCATCTCTTTTCCCACCACAGCTTCTGGTAGTAGCAGCCTGCTAGGATGTTGAGAGTGCAGAGACAGGGGTGTCCTATAGGTCAGGCTCCATATTTCCAGCACAGGGAGAAAGAGGCTGTCAGCAGGTGAAAGAAGGCAGAGGGATATTGGAAGACAAAAGGAGTCAATTCAGGAAGAGATGGTCTTGGAACAGCTGGGATGTGACTGTGCCAGCCTGTGATACCGAAGGGGTCCGTTCCAGATCATTAGCCAGCTCATAGCAGGGAAATGGAGACTCTGCATGGTCTTTCAGGGATGGCAGAGTAGATTCTAGAAAATCTCTGTGCTCCCAAGGCTATCCCATAGGAGATGTGGCAGGAAGGGCAAAGGAGCTGCCTGGCCTCTAGCCCAGCCTTTCTCTGGGGCAGCACCTCAAAAGAGAACAATAGCAGCCCTAAATTCTGAGCACTAAACTCACTCCAGCTCTGTCCCTTGAACTTGCCCTGGCCAGAGAGAATTTAAATCTTTCCCAATCATTTATTTGTCAGCTTCACTAATTAAGCAGTGTTAATTTCATTTACTGAAAATGGAAATTCATCCACCTCATTTCTCCCTGTTCATCCTCCACACACAAAATCCATCACTCCTTAGCTTCAGGCTGTGTAAAATTTACAGGACTAATTATGTTGTCAGGTCTCTTTGCAAATACAGTCCATAAAGGCCACTGTGCTTGTGGGCTTGCAGCGCAAGGGCATTCTGTTGTTAGTTTAATTACTGGTTAGTTATTTAGGTTCTCAAATGTTTGCCTCGTTTTCCCTAAATCAAATTAAATGTCCCATTCGATGTATTCTGTCTCCAAGGACTTGCTCTTATTTCCCACACTATTTAAATACAACTCCCAATCTGACAAGGGTGCCTAGGAAAACTCTGTTGAGAGCCTGAGCCCATCTTGGCTGATGCCTCTGGCCATGACTGAGGTTTGGAACTCTCTGGGGGGCAAGACCCTTTTTTTTTTTCCAAGCCAGCCTTGGGCTGGTCCCCTGCCTATGGAAATTGCAGAAATCCCAACACAAGGGGGCATTTCTCTTCCAAGTTGGCAGAGCCAGAGGTAGGAAAGGGAGAGAGAGCTTCACTATTAGAAGAGCAGAGGACCTCTGTGCCCATCCTGTGACTTCATAACTGCTTCTCTATCACCCCAGGAGAAAGTGTCACTGCTCTGCCTCCTAAAATTAGAGTTTGGGCCGCCCTTCCCTGAACCCTCCTCATGTTTGGTTCCTGTTGCTGCAGCAGCAAGCCACTACAAACACAATGGCTTAAGCAGCACATTTCTTCTGAGTTCTGGAGACAGAATCTCAAGATGGACTACACTGAGTTAAAATCAGGTGTCAGCAGGGCTGTGTTCCCTCTGGAGTCCCTCCAGGGAGCACCTGTTTCTTCTTCTGTTTCCAGCTTCTAGTGGCAGCCTGCATTCCATGGCTTGTGGCCCTCTTCCAGCCAGCAACCGCATCATCCTGACATCGGCTTCTGCCGTCACGTCTGATTCTCTGACTCACTTGCCTCCTTCTTTCCCTTATAAGAACTCTTACCATTACATCAAATCCACCCGGGTAATCCAAGATAATCTCCCCATCTCAAGGTCTTTAACTTAATCACATCTGCAAAGTCCCTTTTGCCATACAAAGTGAAATATTTATAGGATCTAGGGATTAGGATGTGGACATTTGTGGGGGTCATTATTCTGCCTATTCCACGCCCCCTCCAAGTGTCTCTTGCATGACTTAATAAGGGAGTCATCAAACAGCTGCTGCCTTGGAACCAGTCCTAGGCTGGCCTCAGTTAGGATGCCACAGTGTGAGAAGAAGCCTGCTAGCTATGGCTGGCACGGTACCTTGTCTCTCCGGTCAGCATCTATGTCCTGCTGACCGCTGACCTGGCTCAAGCTCTGTGCCCCAACATGCCCTCCACCTGCCTTGCTCTCCTTAAGTCCTGACTAGTCAGTCCTTCTGCAGTCAGGATGCTCTACAGTGCCCACCCCCATAATTGAAAACCGCACCAGACAGGACTGGCAGTTGTGGGTGTGAGGCCCCATGACAGATTCCAGTTAAGAAGACGTTGATTGGGCTGGAGAGATGGCTCAGTGGTTAAGAGCACTGTCAGCTCTTCCAAAGGACGTGGGTTCAATTCCCAGCACCCACATGGCAGCTTACAACTGTCTGTAATGCCCATTCCAAGAGACCTAATACCATCACGCTAATGTACATAAAATAAAGATAAATAAATATAAAAAAAAGAAGATGTTGATCTAGCTTGCTCATTAGCAGAAGCTGAGGACAGAGCTTTGGTCTACGGTAGAATTAAGACATGTACATGAAGCCAGACCTAGTGGTCTAGACATGTAATTCCAGCTACTCCGGAGGCTGAAGCAGGATTGCAAGTTCATGGCCTGCTTGGGCTACAGAATAAGTTCAAGGCTAGCCAGGGAAACTTAGTGAGACTACTGCTTCAAAACTAAAAATTAGAAGGCTAGGCTCAGTGCTATACTACTTGCCTAGACTCTCTCCTCAGAGAGAGTCTCTCTCTTCCTCTCTCTCCTCCTTTCTCTGCTTACCTCTCTCTCTCCCTCCTCCATCCACTTCCCCAGATGGTGGTTTTACAAGAACTGCCACTAACTCTCTGTCAAGAGGAGATGATTCTCCTATTCCAACCCTTGTGGATCATTGTTGAGAGTCAGGAAGGCTGTAGTGATGATGCAGTAGAATAGAATTAGCAGGAAACAAACTCCAGAAAGAATGAGCTGTGATGTGCTTCATATTTGCCCATAGTCTTTTTTCATTCTTTATACTGATAGTGGGGAAGAGCACAGTCTCAGAAGATGGAGCCCTAGTAGCTGAATGTTCTAGAAGGATTCCCAGAAACTATCTAGACTAGCAGACTTTCTCACTCCTGGGCCTTTTCCCTCCCTGTTTCTCTTTCTGTTATACCCAGCCACATGCACTTCCTGAAATCCTATAGTCTGGAGGACTCTAGAATTTCTTCACTGGCCCCAAACTAGAGTCTTGTTATACAAAGGTAAAGGGAGGGAACTCCCAGAGACCAACTGGTAACAGAGACACTGTTACCAATTGGTAACAGTGTCCCTAATGTCACACTAGGACTACTGGTGACCTGGTTAGTGGTGTACTTAGGATGTTGGGTGGCTGAACAGTGACATTGTCAGGCTTCTGGTGTCCTGGCTGGTGACCTCATACTAGGATTTTTGGATGATTAGGCAGTATTACACCAACAGATGGTGTCACATGTGGACCATTGGTGGCTTGAGTAACAATGTTGTCATTTAAGGATTTCTAAAAGATACAATGATGATGTCATGGGGGGGTTGGGGGTTGGGACTGTGATTTCTCACTGGGTATCCTTGAAAGTAACAGAGTGCATTCACTCCAGTAGATGGAGTGTGACTGAGTCCCAGCATGCATGAGGCTGCCACACTAGTGTGGTTGGTTGTCCTTTGTACCTTATTCACGACATCTGCTTCTCTCTGCACAGCCATTCCCTTTTCCGTGCCTGACTGCCCTGTGACTTATTCACTGTCTGGCGTAGAACCTGAAGCTTGTGTTGGCTTTGCCTGTGACTGCCATTCTGTTGGGGTGGTTCTGCCCCCTCTGTTCACTTCCACATAAATACCAAATGACCAGGGCTAGAGATATGGTTCAGCAGGTACAGACAGATGCCTGTCACCTGACAAACCAAGCTTGACTCCTGGAACTCAGAGTAGAAGGAGAGAGAGGACTCCTACAAATTGTCCTCTGACTTCCACATGCATGTACTGGCATGTGAGTATCTCCATACATATAAGTAATTACATACAGAAACAAACAGAAACAAACGAACAAGTGAAAATAATTTTAGAGAGAAGATTAGCAGAGAAAGATCATTTCAGCTACTAAAGGATGACATGTGACATGTTTTATGCATATAGGTAGCTTGTTTCTCCCCTCTGAGACTGTTTCTTCATCTATAAAATCATGAGGCCATAATTCAGGCTTCCAGTACCAGTGGCTCAGCAGAACTGTTTTCCATTCAGAGTTACTAAGTAGCTTAGGGCCACCTACCCTCCTTTCCTGGCCTACCTGGTCATGAATACTGTGGGTGTCTACAGGAGCCAGGGGTTTGCCTTGAAAAAGTAGCTTATCACCACTGCCCATCAAGGGGCCAGGCCCAGAGTATAACACTCAGCTGCAGCCTCTCCTTCTCCCTCTAACCTGTCTGTCTCTTGCCCTTTGTCAGTCTTGGCCAGTGTAAAGGACAGATTGGAGTCAGAAGCCCCAGTGGGTGACCTCTGGCTAGTGGCCAGCTGGAGGGCCTAACAGATACTGTCTCTGACTTTGCAGGGCGAACCAGGAGTGAAAGGGTAGGAGGGAGGGAGAGGCAGGTCAAGTTTCAGGGTCTGCTTGATGAACAAAAGGCACTGGAGTAACCAGTTCTAGCCCTTCAAGAATGGCAGTGGCCTTGGCCAGCTCTAGCTCTCTTCCCTTGGAGAACTGATCCATGGGCGCCACCTAGGAGCTCACAGATGGCGGTAGTGCCAGCTCCCCCAGATATACACACACCCATTTACTTCAAGGGAGTGTCCTCTGCTGTGGCTATGGCTTCAGAATGTTGTGGCGTACTACCAGAGCAGACTGCTTGGATATGGCTAAGCCAATAAAAAAAATTTGGCCAGTGATGACACTGAGTGTTCAGGATTCCAGTGCAGCCCTGAGCCTTTCTTAGAGTGAGCTTTTAAGCACAAAAGCCATGTGGATTGACATACTTCAGTTAACAAGAACGTTTAGCCAGAAGCAGAACCACAGAAGCTAAAAGTGCAAGATTAGTACATTTTGAGACTTTCCCAGAACTATGGACTTTGATGGATTAAGCCTTCATTTTCATTTTGGCTGGTGTTGCTGTCTATCTGCTGATTTTTATAGCCTGAGTGATACTTCCATCGTGGAATCAGGTATGCTAAGGTCTTGGGCCCTGTTACATGGGGATCCTGAGGCACACAAGCTTGCTTTCTCTAGGATACTTTTCACTGCTGGGCGCAGTGGTGCATGCCTTTAATCCCAGCACTCTGGAGGCAGAGGCAGGTAGATCTGTGAGTTCAAGGCCAACCTGGTCTACAGAGTAAGTTCTAGGACAGCCAGGACTATACAGAGAAACCCTGTCTTAAAAGAACAAAACCAACCAACCAACCAACCAACCAACCAACCAACCAACCAACCAACCAAATAAACAAACAAAACCCTAAAACTAAACCATACTGCCCTCCTCCATGGCTCAGACTAGACCCTAGAAACCTGCACCATCAATGCAGCCCCTCTTTGCATGCAAGGGATCCCAGAGAGGGTTCCTGCGTGGATTAGTCACACTAAAGGGAGATGGGCTTTTCCATAGGCTTGGTCTTTGCAGAATCTTTGGGGTGGCAATAACTGGGCTGTACATGGGAATGGCTGAGGTCATGCCATGAAACCAGGGACCATATGGGAACACCTTAGAAATGAGACAGGGATAAATAACTCACCAAGTCCAGTCTTCCTGTCTTCCTCATACCACTGTGCACCTCAGGACTGGCTACTTTGCTGTACATGGCCAGGCTCTGCAGGCATTAGGCTAAAGAAGGAAACCCTGAACAGGGAAAGTGGGAAGGCCAAAGGCTGCGGGGATAGGATGTTTGAGATAGAGGGCCACACGAGTCTGTCCTCCACCTTCCCTGCTCTGCCTCCTCTTGACTGGGGAGCCTGAGAGGTCTGGCCTGGCAGCAAGAGCATTTGACATGAGACTTGGCTCCATGTGCTGCTCAATAGTTGTGTTTCAGGATAGTCTCTAGGAACGTAGGAGATGACAGGAAGCAGGTAAGGAAGAGGGCCTTTGCTGGGCTCTGCTGTTCATCAGTGAGATCTGCATTTGGGCTGAGTGGGCCTGTGGGAGCCTGGCCCATTTGGCTAGAGATTTCTGGATATTGGGGTTTGCTTAGAGTCTGGGCACAGCTACTCTTGGGAACTGTGGGTGTAAAAACATTATAAGGAGAGGCTAACAGGTGACTGCCATGGGCCGACCACAGACGACAGCATGTCTTGTTGTGCGGTCCTGCTTGTTGTGCTGAATTTTGAAGACTGAAACCTAGGCTTTGTATACTCCTCTTCACCTTCCTCTTCCTCCTCTTCTTCCTCCTACTCCCTCTTCACCTCCTTCTATTCCTCTCCATCCTCTTTCTCCTGTCTCCCTCTTCCTTCCTCCTTTGGCCCTCCTCTTTCTCCCTTCTCTTCTCTTCCTCCTTCCCCCATCTTCTTTTCTCCTATTTCTTCCTCTCCTCTTTCTCCCTTCTCTTCTTTTCCTCCATCTCCTTTCTCTTTTTACTTCCCCCATTCTCTTTTCTCCTGTATCTCCCTCCTTTCTCCTTCTTCACTCTTCCTTCTCCATTTTTAATTTTTGAGACAAGGTCTAAACTAAATTTCCTGGGCTAGCCTTGAACCTGCAATCCCCTTGCCTTAGCTCTTGAGTAGCTGGGATTACAGGCCTACACCACCAGTCCTTGTTAGATAATAGCTCATGAGTTCAAGCTTAATTCCTGTCCTTGGCCGAGGATTTGTGAGGAGCTTGAGTATCTAGGCATGTATTGTATGGCAGGCTGCCTCTACCCTGGGTATCCAAATCCCTGCTGCCCGATCTATGCCTCCCCAAATCTACTCACATTCTTAAAACAGCAACTGTCTGAGCTTGCAGCCTCTGCTTTGTGCCCCAGCAATAACAGGGAGTGACTGTAGCCCAGACTGTCCTAGTCACCTTTGCCAGCTGATTGATATGTCCATGAGCAGGGAGGACCAAATTTACACTTGCATTTCATGGTCAGAGGATGAAAAGCCAGAGAGGCACTCACGCTCTCTCACAGGCACAGCCAGGTGGGGCCCAGGCAAGGGGCTCCCCGGCAGAGCAGAGCCCCTGAGCTGCAGTGCCTGTCTCCCCGGGCAGATGATTTCATGAAGCAGAGCCGGGGCATGCTGCTGCTCTACAGCATGAAGAACCCGAGCTTCCCTGAGTACATCTTCAGCAGCGAGAGTGGCATCATGTGTCTGGACATGCACGTGGACCACCCCTACCTGGTGGTCGTGGGCTACTACGACGGCAATGTGGCCATTTACAACCTCAAGAAGCCTCATTCACAGCCCTGCTTCCGCAGCACCTCCAAGTCTGGCAAGCACACGGACCCTGTATGGCAGGTCAGCCTGGGACCTGGTGGGAAGAGCATGTGGACTCAGGAGCCATGAAGGAGGGATGCTTGGGATGAGAAAGGGGCTGGGGTAGGGCAAGGGGCTGGGGAAAGCAGGTACCAACTAGGAGGCCCAGGAGCTGGATCTGAGATGGAATCTGCTGCCCAAAAGCTCTATCAGGAAGACCTTAGCTGTCTGCCAAGACTTCGTTGAGCAGCCATAGCTATACCCATCCAGGACCTCTGGTTCAGATCCTTGTCTACAAGTTTCCTGGACCCCAAAGAGACATGTTCCCAGATAGGAATGGCTTATTGCATTACCCTCTGGGTGTGGCTAGAGAGTCTGGTGGGCAGTCTGCTCTTAAGCCTCTTTTTTGCATTTGTATTCTCTAGGCAGGGTTAACAAGGTAGGCAAAGCTTCAGGCCATTCCCTACAGTGTCCCAAAGCTGCCCCACCTCTTCATGTGTGCCACTGTCATGAGCTGGTCTGAGAGAATCTAAGGTTGGATTTCTGCCTCAAGTGGCCTCAAGTTTTTGGAGAAGGTTTCTCTGTGTATCCGTGGCTGTAGACTCGCTTTGTAAACCAAGCTGGCCTCTAACTCACAGAGATCTGCCTGCCTCTGCTTCTTGAGTGCTGGGATCAAAGGTGTGAGCCACCACACCCAGATCCTGGTCTGGATTTTAAAGGATGTCACTGTGCAATAATAAAGAGCTTCAAGAACAGTGGCCCACTGGCCATTATTATTATTATTTAGAGCGTGTGTGAAATGGGGAGGGGAAAGGACAGGCACCTAGTTGGGAGTGTGCTTAACTTGGGCGTTGCAGGTCAATGGTTTCAAATAAAAGAGTAATACAAAGAAGATGAAAGCAGAGATATTGCCGTAAAACTAGGGCCTTGTTTACTAAAGGGTCCCCTGTTGTCATTTCTGCTGCCTCCTGTGGTACCTTCCCAGGGTTCCTAAGACATCCTATAAGCATAGTTTAAAAGTCACAGCCCCAGTCCTCAGAGGATTTGGGTGGAGGTATAACATTTACTATAGTGTTTTGGAAAGATGCTCTGGCTACAGCATAAGACGCTTTGAAGGCTGAGAAAGGGCAGAGGTAGTGGAGATGGACATGTGGACAAAGGATGGAAAGTTGTTTGGGGAAGGGACATCAATAGACATGGAGAAGGGAAGTATTGTGTTGTCTGGATTTCGGGTCCCCAGCAGGGCACCAATAGATGTGGGAAAGAGCAGGGAGGCACATGTTTGACCAAAGGATAATAGAGAAAGCACAGGGATAGCTCCTGGTAGTATGTTGTTGAGAGCCTGGAGCTCAAAGACAAGCCAGGCTGGTTAAATGAGATGTCTAAGACCTAAAGAACTGTGGTCCTTCCTAAAGGGATTATGCCCTGTGTATGTGACTTCAGAGGAGAGGCTGGTACAGTCTGTCCTGTTGGCCATAGAAAACCATGAAGACTGTGCAGCTAGGGTTTCAAGAAGGCTCATGCCATACATAGCACAGGCCCTTTCCCCAGGCAGCCTGCATGGATGCCTGGGCACTGCAGACCTACTGTGAAGCCTTAACCAGCAACACTCTAGAAAGGGGATGGAAGAGAGTATGAGCAGAGACTGGTCTGGTGCTCTGCTGTAATCAGGTAAGGCAGGGAGAAGGAGCCAGTGCAGGGCTCACTGCTGCTCCCTGTGTCCTCACTGATTCTCTGGACCCTGTTGGTAAACCTCTCACCTTCACTCTCCAGGAGCACACGAGTGTGCGCATGTGCACACACACACACACACACACACACACACTGGGCATGAGGCTGCTAAGTGGGGTGTGAAATACAATTTCCATGAGTGCTAGTGTCTGACCATTAAACACTTCCCTTCGCAGCTCCCCTGCGCCTTTTAGAGCCTGGCCTTTGACACCTTCGTCCCCTCCCCCCTTTAAAGAGACCATGTCTGCACTGAAGGGGAAGTGGTCTCCAGATCATCAGTATTGTGCCTTACAGCTTCTGCAGCATTCTGGCTTCCCAGTGAAAGTACAAAAGAACCAGCTACCCAGACAGGCCCAGGCAAGACTCAGCCTGCCATCCTGCAGCAGCGGCTCCAATCTGATTCACCAGGCCTAGGGACTGGATAGAGAGAGACAACCCCTTCCCCCCACTCCAACCACCCTCCCCCCAATAGCCATTGGTGACAGCTGCGGTTACAGGCAACAGCAGTTACAGGCAACAGGCCTAAGTTCTTGGCCTCCCTCTCTGGACCTCAGCTTGTGACAGATGGAGGGGACTGGACAAGGGTCCCAGCATGGGGGGTCTGGAAGGAGTCAGAGGATAGGAAGCTCTGGGCATCCAGCCCCACCCCAGCTTTCGGGGACTTGGCTTGGCCAAGCCTCCACATCTGGCAACAGAAACTTGAGCCTCAAGCGTGTCATCTTCATAAGACAACAGCTCTGTCTCCAAAACACTTTCCCATATGTTTGCTTCCAGCCCTGAGAAGACGGGTGGGGCAGGATAATTAACCCGGATTTGCAGATGGAGAAATGCAGCTCAAATCTGGGATTTAGGAGCAAGATTCTGGGAGCAGGAGCTAGTGTCAGTTTGAAGGTAGGAGCAAAGTAGTCTTTGAAGAAAAAGGCCAACCCCAGAAGAGGAGGTTGGCTCTTTTCCCTCACCCATCTTCCATTAAGCAGGGAGCAGGCCCACAGACACTTGCAGCCCACCTTCCTTGGATTATGGTAATAATGAGGGTATTAGCTAGCTGGAGTTTTTTGTTTGTTTTTGTGACAAGGTTTTGCTGTTTAGCTCAAGCTAGTCTAGAACTCATGATCCTCTTGCCTGTCTTCTGAATGATGTGAGTCATTTCTCACAGATGTCATCAAGCTGAAACTGTTTACCACCACACCTGGCCCCATTAGCTACTCCTGGAACATTTACTATGTGCAGTGTTCTGAAGATTTTACATATGGTGTGTCAGGTACTTCTCACAATATGCCTTGTTATCATGACTTCCATTCTATAAGTAAAAACAAACAAACAACAACAAAACACTAACTGTGGGGCTCTGACCTTCCCAGGTCATGGCTGTGTGGGGAAAATGAACCCACAACCAGAGGTCTTCCCACAACTTGACTGCTAGAACCCAAACACATCTTAAAGCAATGTTCTGACAGCCACTGTGGCCCCAGATTGGAAACACAGCTGGGTGAAATGACATCAGAAGGTCTCGTCATGAAGTTCTGGAAAGTGGGCTCTCAGAACTTTCACTTGGGCCCTGGTTGGGTACATGGGGAGCCCTGCTGACAGCCCTACCTGACACCTGACAGTTCCAAAGCATGTGGCATTTGATGTTTCAGGTCAAATGGCAGAAAGACGACATGGACCACAACCTTAACTTCTTTTCTGTGTCATCCGACGGCCGGATTGTATCATGGACCCTTGTAAAGGTGCCTGCTTCCCAAAAAGGGTCTTGGAGGGATGAAGGGGAAGTGGGAGGAGCTAAATGGCAAAAAAAAAAAAAAAAAAAAAAACCAAAAAAAAAAAAAAAACCAAACTCCTGACAATCTGCTCCTCCATTCCTCCATCCCTGACTGCAGAGTGAGCTGGTTCATATCGATGTCATCAAGCTGAAGGTGGAAGGCAGCACCACGGAGAACCCCGAGGGGCTACAGCTGCACACTGTGGGTAGGAGCACTGTGGGTAGGAGCACCTCTCACCTGACAGGCCCATTCAGCCCCAGCACCCTAGGATTGGTGACAGAGGCAACTCTGAAGACAGAGAAGCTCAATCCTAAAGGCTGAGCCATTGACCGTTGGCACAGCCTCTATTCAGGCAGGTCGCTTCCTGTGTGCAGACCCTGCTCTTGTGTATGCAGAGCAGGTGCTGCTCTACAGATCCGTTCCTGTTTACGCACATCTAAGCCCTGTTTACTTAGATCCTGTCCCTGTTTACTCAATTCCTACCCTGTTTATGCAGACTCTGTCCCTGTTTGCACAGACCATGTCCCTGTTTGCAGACCCCATCCCTGTTTACTGTGACCCTGACCCTATTTAACTCAATTCCTGCCTTGTTTACCCAGGCCCTCACTCTTGTCTGCAGATCCTAACTGCCTAGGGCAAGCAAGCCTAAGGTTCAGTTTCTGTTTTTCTGGACTGAGCCCAGCCCTCCCAGCGGCCCAGTTCTATCTGTCCAACACTGAGCTGGGGGGAGCCTCCCTCGGAAAGCAGCCTAAGTCTGTCCCTCTTCTTCCAAGGCTGTGGCACCGCCTTTGACTTCCACAAAGAGATCGACTACTTGTTCCTGGTGGGAACAGAGGAGGGGAAAATCTACAAGGTGAGGCAGCTCTGCCTGCCCTGTCAGCTCCTCACAAGGCCACTAGGACCTAAGCACCTTGGGAGGCTATAACACTCAACAAATCCTGTTCTGACACCATCTAGTACTCACTGCTCTGGTACTCTTTTGAGTGGGGGATAACATTTAAATTTTTTTAATTGTTATTTGTTTGTGTGTGTGTGTGTGTGTGTGTGTGTGTGTATGTATGTATGTTAGGTGTATGGACACACTCATCACAGTATGCAGGTGGAGGTCACAGGACAACTTCGGGAGTTGGTGGGGCTCTAACTTGGGTCTTCAGGCTTGGTGGCAAGTACCTTTAGCCATTGTGCCATCCTGCAAGCTCAGAAGAGAGGGTTCCCTGACTAAAAACAAGTTTTGTTTTAACATGTCCTTAGTTGTGGTAGTGGCACACTCACATGCATGGAGAGCAGCTGATGGCTTGCTGGCGTTGTCTGAGCTTGAACCCGGGCCATCAGGCTTAGCAGCAGGCACCTTCACACAGGAAGACATGTTTTGGTCCACTTGGGTGTCAGGAAGAGGGCTACAATCAGAAAAGATGAGAATGCAGAGAGTAACTTGAACCAGTCTCTTTCCCACTTTCCTAAGAGACAGACATGGGAGTAGGGCTTTGGGGGAACTAGGACATTTGGGGGAGATCTGAACGGGAACTGGGCTCTCAAGGCAGGCTGATCTCTGGATATGAGATGCACAGCTGCCAGCAGGACACAGCCCTCCCAGCCAGTTCATTGCCACGTCTCGATGTTAGTAGGTGAACATCCCTCTGAACCTCCATCGTCCAGAAATAGCTTTGCTGGGAGCTTTTCTTAGGCTCAGAGGCTCACAATGTTAATTACAGACAGCCTCCCAGGAGCCCCAGAGGCCCAGCCAGAGCTGGTGTGAATGCAAAAGAGATCCCCACCCCCTCTCCACCACTCCCAGTGGCAGTGCAAGAGAGGCAGGGGGAAGGAAAGGACTAGTCAGTCTCTCTCCTGGAGGGAGGGAGAGGCTTGCTGGCCATGGACACTGAATGGGAAATCTGGGTATCTGAGTCCGATCCTGGCTCAGAACCTGCTCTTACCTGGAAGAGGCCAGGTTTGGATGATGTCTGAGCTGCTGTGAATCCATGGCTCTGGCATGAACACAAGGTTAGGCTGTGGCCCCTCCCTCCAGTCCAGGCCTGTCCACCATCTCTTCCCCCCCACACACACCCCCCAAGGGCGTGAGACCCACCCTGCCATGGAGAGAAAAGTTCCTTTGTTACTCAGTCATTTCCCTTCACCCTCCAGGGCTCCATGCCCAGCCTGAACCTTAATCTTTAACAGCTTCCTCTTCCTTCAGGAGTTGGGGGACAGACTCAGGTGCTGATCCTGCTGGGTCCCCAGGGAAAGGTTTCTCCCACTGTTGATTCCAACCTTCCTGAATTGTCCATCCTTTATCCCTGCCATAGTGCTCCAAATCCTACTCCAGCCAATTCTTGGACACGTATGATGCTCACAACATGGCAGTAGACGCTGTGATCTGGAACCCATTCCACACCAAGGTTTTCATGTCCTGCAGCTCTGACTGGACAGTGAAGATATGGGACCACACCATCAAGTGAGGGGCCTGGCTTGGCCCTGCCCTGTCCCATGCCCTGCCCTCAGCTCAGGCACTGTGACCCCTCTGGGTTATGGGCTTGTCCCTTCTGCTACTGCAGGACCCCCATGTTCATTTATGACCTCAACTCAGCCGTGGGTGATGTGGCCTGGGCCCCATACTCTTCCACTGTGTTTGCAGCAGTCACCACGGATGGGAAGGTGAGTACTCCTTTTGTCAGCCTGCTGAGACCCCACAGAGACAGAGAGGTGTCCTTCCTAGGGCCTCCTTCCTAGGGAGCCCACCGAATGGTACCCCAGGTCAGTAGGAGATGATGGGGCCTAGGCCTATGCAAGGAAGTGTGGAGGAATCCTTCATCACAGGGGGCCTCAAGGAAGGAACAGGCCCTCTGGGGAACTGAGGGGCCATCAGAAGTTGTCTTCCTTGAAGTCTCTAGGGGACAGGATTAAAGAGTGCCTAGCCTGTGGGCCAGTCACTGGTCGGTAAGGTAGTGAGGCCATCACCTCCACAAGGGTCCAAAGCCAGTTCTGAAGAGGTGACTAGAGAGAGGCTGAGGCTCAGAAGCCACCTCTTTGTGAGAATGTCCTTAGGTGCAGCCTTGTTTTCCTTATGGAATTTGATATAACTTGAAAAGCACTTGCAGCCCCAAGATAATACTAAAGTGATTAAGGCATGAGCCCCATGTCAGCCAGCCACCCATTCCCTGGACACGTTACCAAGGGCCTGCCATGGTACTAAGTTCCTGGCTAGGATCTATGGAGTATGAAGTTCACATTATAATGGAGAAGAAGACAAAAGACAGGCATCAAAATTCTCACCATGTTAGAGCAGAGGACTGAAGGAGGATGGTATGTGGATGCAAATGATTGTAGCAGCATTATTCATAATCTTCAGACAATGAAAGAAGCCAGTGTCCATCCAGTCAGGAACAGCAAATAGAATGCTAAAAGATCATATTCAGCAGACAAGGAACATATGACAACATAGATGGACATGGAAAGCTATGCTAAGTAAAGTAGGCCAGACACAAAAGAGTGGATATATAAGTCTAAAATAGATTTGACCAGTATGCCTCATGTCAAGAGACAAGTCTGTGGAGATGCAGAGTAGATTTGTGTTTGCCTCGGATAGAAGGGTCGAGGAAAAAAAATGGAGTACAAAGTTCATCTTGTGGGTGAAGAAGTCACCCTAAAATTTGCTGTGATAATGGTTTAATAAATGAATATGATCAAAACAAAGAAGTATATAGTTTCAGTATGCTAAGTGGATAAGCCTTATAGTATGTAAATTATATCTCAATGAAGCTGTTATATCAAACAGAGAAAGCCAGGCTTGGTGGGACACACCTATGCCTATAATCCCGGCATGCAGAAGGTGGAAACCAGAGGATCAAAAGTTTGAAGGCAGTCTGGATTACATGGCAAGGGCCAGCAGGCCAGGATGGTGGGGTGGTGGTGGGATGGATGGATGGATGGATGGATGGTGCTGGTGCTGGTGCTGGTGGTGATGGTGGTGGTGGGGTTTCTTCTGCTTTTTTGAAGAGGTGAAACTTAAACTGAGAGCTGAATGACAAGCACCAGCCTTCCTTCCTTCCTTTCCTTCCTTCCTTTCCTTTCTTCCTTCCTTTCTTCCTTCCCTTCCTTTCTTTCCTTCCTTCCTTCCTTCCTTCCTTCCTTCCTTCCTTTCCTTCCTCTCTCTCTTTGACAAGGGTCTCTCTATTAGGTAGCTTTACCTGTTCTCTTACATAAACCAAGCTGGCCTCCATCTCTTAGAGATCCACCTGCCTCTGCCTCCTGAGTGCTGGGATTAAAGGTATGCACTACCACACCCTGCAGGACTGGCATTATGAAGATGAGGGTAAAGAACATTTCACAGTGAGGACAATATTAGGAGGTGGGAAGGAGCTCTTCGGGCTCATTCCTAAGAACTGAGGCAATATGCCTGGGCCGCAGTGAGCTGAAGGGAGAGGGCTTACGATGAGATGAAGGCATGGGCAAACATGGAATCTGGCTCCAAGGAGACTGGCCTAGGAACTGCAGGGAGGATAGTGTGCAGATGGGCAAAGGCAGAAGCAGGGGAACTGGGTAGGAGGCTGTTGCCACAGGAGCTGATAGTCATTTGGACTCCAGTGAGGCAAAAGATAGTATCAAACATTTACTGGGCACTTAGGCGTCAAACCTAGAGCACTTTATGTTTATTAGCTGGGATAAACTCCTGGCTCTGCCACTTACAAGCAAGTCAGCTTCCAATAGTTTCCAACTCCTCATTTAAAACATAGAAAGGGTAATAGAACTGCAGTGCAGAGAGGCTGGGAACGGGGTATAATTAAATGGTCCAGCCTGGTAACACTCCTGCCCGGAGCCTGGAACATGGTAAGTATATCAGACTGGATAAAAGGTGGCTGTCATTATTAGTTCTTTTATAACACTTCGGTTTTCTTTGCAGTGATTTCATATATACATGTCATAGTTTATTCCTACCCGTCCTCTTCTCACACCTCCCATTCCCCTTACCTGTTCCCCTTGTCTCATCAGATAGTTTTCCCAAATAGTCTCCCTTCTGCTTCCATGTCATAGATATCCCATAGCTGCTTTTATCATTTATTCTGCATATACTTACTATTTCTAATCTTTTTACCCTCACTCCCTCAGTGATAGGAAGAAAGTAAACTGACATTAAATCCCTTCTTCTGTCTCCCACTCTGCTGTGTTGACCATTAGGGCTCAAAGAAAACCCAAGATGGGAGGCCAGGGCCTGGCTTACCAGACTGTGACACTAACCTCTCCATAGGCCCATGTGTTTGACTTGGCTGTCAACAAGTATGAGGCTATCTGCAACCAGCCTGTGGTGGCCAAGAAAAAGAACAAGATTACTCACGTGCAGTTCAATCCCATTCACCCCATCATAATTGTGGGTGATGAACGTGGGCATGTCACCTGTCTCAAGCTCTCTCCCAACTTGCGAAAGATGCCAAAGGTAGGAGTTCGGGGAGTCCAGGCTGCCATCAAGAGTTGTGGGGGTAATAGGGTCTACCTCAAGTTTCTGGCATGAAGGATTCCTGGTAAGGATGGTGTCACTGCCTGAATGAGGAGGCTAGGAAAAAAGGTCTTCGAAGTAATAGATCAGTCTGGCCTGCATATGAGTTCCCCGTAGGGCCCAGGGAGTAATTTCCAAGGAGTAAGTGGTCTTAAGGCTTGGAGGAGGCAGCATCATTGGCTTAGTGGAGTGTGGGGTGTTGTGGGTGTGACAAGTCACCAGGCTTAGCTGAAGCATCGTTGCTGGGTTTACAGAGCTTCAGCTCCAGTGGTCCCTAAACTGGAAGCTGTGGATCTACCCAGGGAAGAAGGAAATGAGCTGTGAGCTGGGGAACTAGGTCAGCAACTATGCAGGCCTCCTTCTGAATTCTGCCTTCTGTTTCTCGGGTCTCTAAGAACACCCTGCACAGAGCCCAAGGACCCCAAATGTATGACACAAAGTCCAGAGCAATGACCTCACATCTATATCTGAGTCCAAGTTCAGAGTTAAGACTCAAGCCCTACAGCACAGGTCTTCAGAGTCCAGACAGAGCCTTAGGACCCAACTTAGAAACACAGAACCAGTTACTATGTGACAGTGGAAATGGCTTTTTGTTCTCTGTCCAAATTTGGGCCAGAGTTGGCCAAGTTGCCCTGACTATTGAACCTCCAGGGTGCAGTTTAAGGCTTATGCTGAAGTTCGAGGCAGGGTCGGCGGCCTGTCTTGTTCAGTACAGTCTTCTTCCCCAAGTGTCCCTACACAGCCCGAGACTGGGCACCACCCTTTGGATACCGGCATAAACTATTCCTCCACTATGCCAGGGAGGTACAGGCTGGAAGTATGGACGTCAGTAATTGTAGCCAGCTGGGGGAGGGGGTGGACTCGGCTATAAATACTCAGAATGCTGCTAAGCACCAGCAGCTGTGGCCCACAGGCTATGGTGGGCTTTGGGGGTTGGGGGAAGTCAGGCATGGTCTAAGTCTCTTTGCTGAGCCCTGCTCCTTGGCCTCAGTGGGGAGAAAGGACACAGCAAATTTTGTGGAACAGATAAAATCTGTTCTTAATTTAATGAGGGGCAGGCTTAAGATGGCAGAGCTGGACAGCCCTGGGAGGATGGTCACTCTTTAGGAGAAGGCTAGCATAGCCCTGACACCATGAGCACTGTAGATATGAAAGAGTCCTACCCTTTGTGATGCTGGGAGGCAAGATTTATCACCGGTCCCTCTCCTCACAAAGCAAGGGTCAGCTGCTGCTGAAGGAACTGAGTCTGTGAATCTGGAAACGTAAATCGCCAAGGATCTGGGAAAGGACAGTCTGGGGATCGTACTTGGGAGTATTAGAAGCCCCTGTGAGATTGCCATCTGACCCTGTCAGCAGTCAAGTGACTCATACAAAAGGAAGTCCTCTAGGCATTTCTATGGCCCTTCCTCTGGGAGCTTCAGATTTCCTGCCCTTCCCAAGAGGACTTACCTCAGAGGCCCAGACTGCTCTCTTGGGGAACACCTGAATGCCATCAGAGTCAAGAACCATCTTTCCCTTACTCCTGTGCAGATGGGAAAGTGAGAAAACCAAGGGGCTTGTCCAGGGGAGTAATGACAGCAATGACAGCAATGGAACATAAAAACCAGGTCCTTAAATACCATGGGATAGCATAAAGCTAAGAAACAGATTAATTACAGAGGAAGAATGGGAAAAGAGAAAAAGATGACTCTCCTGTGCTTCTCCCAAGCGGAGCATCGAGCTGGTTGATGGCAAAGGCACCGACATAGGCCAGGGGCTCCGGGAGCAGAGCTGAGAGCTGGTGCAGGGGTCAAGGCCAGGGGAAATCAGCGCTCTGTGGGACCAGCAGCTAGAATGTGACCAGGAAGAAGCCCACTGGCTCTGCACTCTTCCCTTACCTTATACCTCGGCAGGTATGGCTGAGGCAGGTGCCAGTGAACAGTGGGCACAGGTGGCAGACACAGAGGGAAGACAGGAAATGGCAGCTGCCCAGCCTGTCTCAGCACAGTTCACACCCCATTGTCTGGACAACAGAGAGAATTTGACTGATGCGGCCTACTACAGAAGTTTAAAGCCTGTGGGCCAAATATACCTGTGTCTAAAATTCCATTTTCTCAGGGCCCAACTTACCACTGAAGCACTAGAATGCTTTGCATGTGGGAGCAAGGGTCCTAAAGTCAGGATCTAAGAGACAGTTCCCGCCACATGGAGTCCTGTGGAAAAGTCTGTCTGCCCTCATAGATTTCCTGGTGCTTCTCCCCGTTCCTGCGCCCATGACACAGCAAACCTGGCTTCCCTACCTGGAGGTCTGAGGACACCTGTGGCCTTGTGCACACCCCTCTCTCTGCAGGAGACACCTATGCCCTCTTCACAGGGCTGGACCTGGGTGACCCTGACATTCAGCTCCTGCCTTTCCCAGAGCCTACAGCGACTGAGTGACTGGGATGAATGCCTTTTCTCACTCCTGCCCACATCAAGTCCTTGATTCCTGTTCAGCCTCTGAACTAGAGCTGGATCCTCCTCACAGGCCCTGAGTGGGGCCTCTGAGGCGCCTAACCCGAGGGCTGAGGACTGAACAGGAGCAGCAGGGATCTAGTGTTCACTGGGCAGGGCAAGGGCAGGAAATAGCTAGAGTAGGTTGGGAAGAGGAGCCAGTGGTGGCTCCCAAAAAGAGGCAGCAGGTCTTTCACCATTCCACTGACATTTCCCCTCCCCCCAGGAAAAGAAGGGGCAGGAAGTGCAGAAGGGTCCAGCTGTGGAGATCGCAAAATTGGATAAACTGCTAAACCTCGTGAGGGAAGTAAAAACCAAAACCTGAGAATCTGGCCCCAGGCCCTGCCCCATGGTTTGAACTCAATCTTACAGCCCTCTACCTGGGTGCCAGGGTGCCTATGCCCCAAAGATGCACCTCACCCTGATCAAGTCCCAGTGTTTACTTTTCTCATTCTGGTTCTTAAGGTCACACCACCTTTCTCCATGATTTGACTCCATTATACCCTCTTTGCACAAATAAACCTGTTTGGAAGCTCATCTCATACCTTTAATTTCTTTTCTATACCATGCAGGCCCCAAGAAGAGGCGAAATCTCAGTGTAAGCCATAGTTCCATTTATTATCCAACAAACAGTGGGAGGAACGGAGAAGGGGCCCCACCGGGGCACCCCCCCATTATTGCCACGGGTCCCAGTTTGCTTCCCCAACCTCGAGAGCCCAGAGGTGCTGAGCCTGGGGGAAGGGCAAACTCAGCCCTTGGCCCTTGGGATGGAGCAGAGACCAGAATGGCCCTGGCCTTAGCACCAACTCCTAACCCCCCCACGCCAGGCCTGTTTTTCTAGGGCTACTCAGGCCTCTCTTGGAGCCAGGCTGGCTACAATCTAGGCTGCTGGGTCCAGCTTCAAACAGACTGGATTCTAAATTCTGGACCCCACGCTGACAATTCTGAGATCAGATTCCACGCTTTGACTCAGGTATACTCAGGTCCAGGACTCCAGGGCAGGCCACGGGCCTTCAGGGCTGCAGCAGGTAGCTGCCTTCATGGCTAGGCTTCTGGGGAGGTGGTGCCTTCTCAGGACAGGGGCCGGGGCTGGAGTTGGGACTGGATTCCGAGAGAGAGTCGCCGTCAGCAGAGCGAGAGTGGCAGGCCCAGCAGAGAATGACCCAAAGCAGTAGCAGCAAGAAGCCTACAAGGCCGTTGCAGACAATGGCGATGAGGGCCCCCTGGGAGATGGCTGCCCCCATGACAGGCAGCACCCTCAGGCCAGCATGGACAGCAGAGCTGCCTTGGTGGCAAGGCCCATGCCGAGGCACAACTCTGGTTTGGCCGACTTTCCAAGGAGGCTGTCCTGTCCACACACAAGGACTCCTGGGCAGTGAAGATGGCCACCTGCAGTCCTGAGCCTGAGGAAGTACAGAGGAAAGTAGAGGGAGGTGAGGAGGAAGAAGTGAGCTAAAGCCTAAGGGGACAACTCCCCTCTTCCATCTTTGGCCATAGACAGAGAGCATTGAGTCCCAGCAGGCTCAAGTACCCCACAAAGCCAGCACCTCCATCTTCAGTACCTGGGTGCTGTGGTGCAGCCAGCGTGGGAAAGCTGTAGACAGGCAGCCTCTAGCTCATTCTCCTTGGAACTGGTGGGTATGGCCTAGCCCTGCCCACCAACCTTCTAGCCTTCTGACATGCTGTTGGTGGGCGGGACTGTGGTGGCCCAAGGCCCAGGAGGAAGAGGATTATGACCATCACTGTAGTGGCTAGGGCACCCTCTCTTTTCCGAGGGCTGCAGTCAGCCAGTCCTGGAGATCTGCAGAGGTGCCAGCTCTCACAGAGGGAACTTTGTGAGGCCCTGGCAGGAACGTGTGGGTTCTGTATATCAAAGGCTGGGCGTCTAGGCGTGCCTTTTCCCGGGACTTTGCTTCTCTGAGTCAGGTGTGTGGTGTTTGAAGGTACATCCTCCTGCGTCTCCGTCCCTTTCTGGGTCTGCATCCTTGCCTTTGCAAACCCACCTCTGTGAAGGTGTGTGGCTGCCTGTCTCTCTGTGTCCCTATCCCTGAGTGTCTTGAGTGTTTCATGTGTGTGTCTCATTTCTCGTCCAGTCTGTCTCTTCACGACTGCATGTCCCTTTGCCCTCGAGGACATGTTTCTTCCTTTCTCCCATGGGGTCGGTGTCGGTGGTGGTTCTGTGCGGCTTGCATTTGTCTCTCCCTTTGTGTGTATCCTCCAACCTGTGTGTCTCCGTCTCTGTGTGGGTCACTATCTGTTCATCTCAGTCCAGAATTTCTGTATCTCGACACCCCGCTCATACGGGAGCTCCCCAACCCCCTTACCTGAGTTGAGCCCGATGCGCGCCCAAGGGAGGGTCCGGGGCAGCGGGATGCTCAGTGCCGACTCAGACTCGAGAGCCTGCGGGCCGGGGGCGGCGGGAGGCGGTCAGGGGCGACGTCCGCTCCACGGGCCCTCCCCCTGGGCCGCGCAGCCTCCGCCCGCCGCTCCCGCCGGGGCGCGACCCGGCCGGCCTCTGCCGCGGGCGGTCTGCGGAGAGCGGGCACCTCCTCCCCCTGGGGCGGCGCCTCCTCCGCGGCCGGGGCCGCTAGCTCGCTCGCTCGCTCGCTCGCTCGCTCGGCAGCCCTCGGGCGGCGGCAGCAGGAATGTCGAGGAGTTCGGCTGGGCTCGGCTGCGTTCGGCTAGGCTCGGCTACGGCGGGAGGGAGTCGGCTGAGCTCGGCTGGGCTCGGCGGGCAGCAAAAACAGCGAAGAGCCGCGCCTCGTGAGTGGCCAGCGGCCTGCGGCCCTTCGGGGGCGGAGCCATCTCTGTGCCGCTGCCGCCGTTCAATTGGCTGGCCGGGCCACGTTCCCGCGCCATTGGTTGTGCTCTGGGGTGGGACACAAATGTCCTGGTGCAGGAGAGAAGGAGGAAGGGTCGGGAGAGGCGGCGGGGGGGGGGGGGGCAGGCGACGAAGGGGCCACCTTGTTTTGATTCATCCCTTAAGAGGGTGGAAGGCCAGGCCACCTTTTTGCGGCAATTTCTTGCACCTTCCACACCTAGAATGCACCCCGTGTGTGAAGCGTCCACCCCTCCATATCTGGGAGTCTGTCACTATTATCTGGAAAAGTCCATGTGTCTCCATGCCTGACCCTCCTCCTTCGTCTCATCTTTCTACACACCCTTTTCCCAGCAGAGTGGAGGTGCTGCGCCCTGACTTGACAAAGCCTATAGACTGGCCCTGCTCCTAAGGACGGTGTGATCTCCGGCAACACGAGATCTTTGTTGCCTTTCACTGATTTCTCACCCAGTGTTGGTCACAGGCTTGCGCTTTGCTTGCTAGAGGGAATCTGAGACACCTGAAGAATGGCTCGGCTCTGGCTGAACTAGATACAGGCTGGTGCATGCCCTGACTCTCCATCCTAACAGCTCTCTTGAGACCAAGGCAGCTTGGACAGGAGCACTCAAACAGGCCTTCCTCGCCTGGGCCCTCACGCGTGTGAGGCTAGTGATGTAACCTAGGGCTTTGGGCTCACACGTGAGAGGCAACCATGTTCTTTACCACTGAGCTTCATTCCTAGCCCTCCAGTGCGTAACTGTCCTTGTGTGTGTCCTCTTATCTCATGCTGTCCATGGACAATCAGCTCCACCATGTAACTCCCGCTGCCGTGCATCCAACCCTAACTTCTCCCTGAAATGCTGCACTGACAGCCAAAATGCCTCCTGGAGTTCAGGGTGCTGTTGGCTCCTGGTTCTACTTTCTAGCTTTGTGACATTGGGCAAGTTTCTTGACACTCCTAAACACACATTTCTTCTGTATAGAATGGTTATAGTAAGAGCTACTTCTCAGGTTTTTCACCAATTCATTTGTACCATACCAACCACATCTCATCGAATGCCAGTGGACATAACCCAGCACCAGGTGTCAGGCCCCTCCTTCCAAGAAGACCTCCAGAAACTTGGATACTATTTTGAAAATGAGGAAGAGGAATATAAAGTTATCTGAATGACCAAAGCATCTAAAGCTACAGTGTTAGAGACTGTCTAAAATAAACTACAGCCCCTGTGGAGTTTGTCAGGATAGATTAATTTTAGTTTTCCCCGTGTTACCCAGCAGGGTGGGGGTATTGTGAGGAGGATCAGATCAGTTATAGGAGAGAGAGGCGACATATGTCACACATCTGAGTGCAATGCAAGTGAATTTGTGACCTAGCTGCAGGGGTTCAGATTTTTTCCTGGAAGCAGCAGGAAGTCACTGAAGAATTTTGAGCATCGGAGTGATGTGATCATAGCCAGAAATTAGAAGGACGATTTGGGCCATTGGGTGGAAAGCAGTTTTGAAAGCATTTGAGAGTGAAAGCTATCCCACACTGATGAGGGGCTACAAATGTCCTTGGCAGAGTAGGAGAACAGTGGGTATCTGGTACGTCAGTAGGCAGAATTTAGAAGGTAGGGGAGTAGGAAGGGGACATTCTGGGGTCACTGGTCAGCAGCTACAATACTGTGATGTAGCGTCCAGTGATAAAGAACTCAAGAAGAGGCTGGTGAAAACCATTGGCACCAAGCCTGATGAGCCCAGTTCAGTCCCCGGGACCAACATGGTAGAAGGCTGACCTTGTGTTATTCCCTGTAGCACACATGTGCCCCCACCAAATAAACAGAATGTATGTATACATTTCAGCAAAGGACTTAGGCAATAGTATTGGAGATGTCAGTTTGAGGTAGAATGCTTTAGTGGAACTGTTCAGTAGGCATGAATAAACAGCTCCAAGGTCTAGGGAACATGTCCAGTGAGTATTTGCAAAAGTTAAGTCAGAAAACTAGATGAGCTCACTTAACGAGAGTCAGAACCGGCTGTAACAGTTCCAGTAGACCTGCCACAACCCCGGTCACGCCCACGCCCATATGGTCTCCAGTAGTCCTCCGGTCCACATGGTAAAAACAAGACTTCCAACAATCCACATATTAAAATCTTATTGTCTGGGACCTAGACTCAAGGTGGTCAAGGTGAGGCCTGTGGAGCTGCTGCTGCTAGTATCACTGCTTCTTTTGGATACAGTTTTGAAACTCCACAAACAGTACTCTGAGAGTCCTGGTGGCTACCATGACTCAAATGACCTACCTCCGAGGTGGGTACATGGCTCTCAGAAGACAGTGAAAATGGCAGGCGGTCACTATTGTCTACTCATTGTTTGCCCAGCGTAGGCAAATCATTTTCTCTGCATATGATTCCAAAATATCCTCACAAACTGCCAGAATTTGGATCTAGAATGTAGATCCAAGACCAGAAGGCTTGGTCCCCAGGTTGGCTCTGTTGAGAGGTTGGAACATGGGGCCCAGAGGGAAGTGTCAGTTCACGGCAGGGGTGTTCTTGAAGAGCACTGGAGGACTTGAATCTCTTCCTCTTCCTCTGTCTTTCTTTTCTGGCCCAAGAAGCAAGTAGCTTTGCTCTCTTGCTGCTCTGACATGCTACCTTGCCACAAGCCCACAAGCAACTAAGCTATTAAACCATAGGTACCTACAAAACTGTGAGCTAAAATAAGTCTTTTTACTTTTATTTTTATTTAGTTTTTATTACATTTATGAATGTATGTGTGTGTGTGTAATTTATTTAGTGTGTGTATACATGTGTGCAGGCACCGCACAGGAGTGCAGGTCTAAAGACAGCTCTCAGGAGTTGCTTCTCTCATTCCATACGTGGGTTCTAGGAATCGAACATAGACTAACAGGCTTGGTGGCAAAAACATTTACCCACTGAGCCATCTTGCAAGCCCCTCTTTCTTTTTTCTATTTAAAAGTTGAGTGTCAGCTAGATATGGTGGTGCTCACCTTTAATCCTAGCACTCAGGAGGCAGAGGCAGATGGATCTCTGTGAGTTGGAAGCCAGCCTGGTCTACAAAGTGAGTTCTAGAACAGCCAGAGCTGTATAGTGAGAGACAAACAGACAGATAGACAGAGATAGATAGAAGAAAGAAAGATAGATAGATAGATAGATAGATAGATAGATAGATAGACAGACGGACAGACAGATAAATGTCGAGTATCTCAAGTGTTTTTTGCAGCAATGGAAAGTTCATTGTCTTGGTTACTTTTCCCATTCGAGTGATAAAATACCCTGGCAAAAAAAGCTACAATCTTTTCTGTTGTTGTTGTTCGAGACAGAGTTTCTTTTGTGTAGCCCTGGCCATACTGTAACTCAATGTGTAGACCAAGCTGGCTTGGAGTTCACAGAGATCTTCCTGTCTCTGCCTCCCAGGTTCTGGGATTAAAGGTGTGAGTCACCACTGCCCCGACAAAAGCAGCTTAAAGAAGAGTCTATTTTGGCCCTCAGTTTGAAGTTGTTGGTCATCTTGATGGGGAAATCACACCAGCATCTACCGGAGGCAGCTAAACACATTGTATCCACGGTCAGGAAGCAGGGAG